ATTGACTGCAGCTGTCTGATCAGATTTTTAACAGATCTGTAAAGACATTGTTGCAGTAATCAAAAGAGGAATAAATAAATATGTTATATATACAGTATGTTATATATATTTTTCAAGGTCCCAGTGTAGGTACCAGATCTGTTAGGGTGGTGAGCTCTGCTCTGGTCCTGGGCATGCCATTGAGGTTACACGTTATGATTGGTTAAACATTGCCACAATGACATAAAACATTGTGGTTGCCCGGATAACAATAAAATAAGCATGCATATCTTGTCGTGAGCATCCGTAGTGTAAGCCTTTCTAATGACAGATGAAGTTTTACCTGATTGATAACAAAACTGAAAAAATCAGTTTTTGGTGAACAAAGTAACTTTGAGACCACGGTATAAAGAGCTGTGTATCACTTTAAATAGCTGTGCTCAGTAGCTAACAGGTTAGCCTCTTTTAGCTCAATCACTTACTCATATTAAGCTACAGTAAGCTACCTTTAAATTTGTGTCAATAACTGTTATTTTTCTAAAAGTAGAATAACAGTATTTGTCTTTGTCTAATATTTCCACGAAAGTGATTTTTAAGTTGTTTGCTTTGTCCTCCCCTGCCTTCAGATCTAAATAAAATGAAGTACTGAGACGTTTTGTGTCATCTTCTTAAATGGCAGAGGTCAGTCTGTCATTGGACCTGATACTTGCTTCAACGCTGAGAAGGATTTTTATCCTTTTTGCTACTTTAGGGCAAAAGAAATGTAAAATAATAGCAAATATAGATAACAATAAGTTTAGACTTGAGAAAGTTGAGAAAGAGAAATTATTCTTAAGAAACGGGTGTTATACAGTTTGCATTGCCATATTGTGACATCATCAGCATGGGCAGGCCCCCAGCAAATTTGACGACTCAAGCAGATCTGGTACCTACAGCTGCCCACATAGAGTTTCTGAAGTTTAACTAAACAGACAGTCTAGTCAGTGCTGAACATAGAAATTTATCTTTACAGAATGTCATAAATGGAAAAACATACTCCTGTAAAAGAAAGGTCCAGCAGTGCCACTATATCATGCAAATATTCAGCATTTATATACATGGTGAGATATGAAGTAAACAGTGTTTCACCAAAAAAACAATAACCTCTAGTTTACTGATTGGCCCACATTGAAGGCAACCTGATTCTGACTAACTGTAATCTGAAGAAACAGGATAAGCACTCAAACTACTTTTCATGGGTCTCATTTTAAATATCACTTCATACACCCTGGGAAAACGCAGTGATGTTGTTTGCTTTAGAGTCAAGATATCATGAGATCACCTACTCTATTGCAGTTAGAGTACCCCTGACCTTCACTTTAGATTCTCTACTTTACCATTCTCTCCTCTTTGCCTTCCTGTCCATTTTGTTCAGCTGATCTGCACTAAAAACAGTATGCATGCTTTTGAGTGGCAGATTCAAGGCAGTGGCCTCCATTTAGCCACTTCCTGTTTAATGGAGCTAGTATGTTTTTTCCCCCCTCTAGGCCACTGCTGAGCACACCATGTGTGAGTGAATGTAGTTTTAGAAAAGCTTAAGATTCACTCCGATTGCATTTTTCCACATGAAATACACTTAAATATGAAATATGAATTTGAGTTTTGTCTTTTTTATTCAGCATGTGGACAGTTGTAAATAAGTTTTGTTTACTTGATGGTTTCCTGATAAGATAAAAAAAAAGACAATTTGTGTCTCCCAGCAGCACCTGCATATCTACAGTACATTACAAATGCATGCTCATACACACAACCCCATGAATACAGATAGAGTATTAGTACAGCTGGCTGTCAATTCCTCTGGCTCACCAAGAGGTCCCTAAATACTGAAACCCTTTTTCTTCCCTTGCCCAGCATGTGGTTGTCAGCTAATTCGTTGTATATCTATGTGTGTCTCCAAAGCATGTTTTCACCTGGCATCTTTTCAACCTTGGCAGGAATGTGTCTCCTGGCACTCTCAGGAACAAATTTGTCTATGGGCTTTTGGTTTGGTTTTTCTTGAATATAGAAGTGTGTAGGCAAATATGTGTTAGGGTAATATAGCTGAGAGGTCTGCTCATTATCACCAGTGCACTCAGTGAACATGTGGTCAGAGCTTGAGGGAAAAAGATAAAAAAAAAAAGTGTGGAAAGTGGCAACTACATGGGCAGGGATGAGGTAAATCTTGGGATGTGAAAACAATGACCCTGATTGTTTGGATAGGGACAGAAGTGCTCAGTTAAACTCTTCACGGAATACAGTAATTACTTCCTTATACTTTAATATCAAATTATTTTTTTCTATATTTCTGTCTTCTTTCATCAGAAAAGAAAGTTGAAAAGGAACAATGAGTTTTAGGACCTAGATACAGCTAGTGATCCAGTGGAATTTTAGCAAAATAGTGTGTGTTTTCCCAGCTTGCCTTAGCTGTGTCTTGTTGTGGTTGCTGGGCCTGTGGGTGGTCTTGGTGTATTTCAGCTGTTCAGCATCATTTTGATTTAAACATATCTGTGATCTTCAGAGCAAACCACTGATGAGACCCACTCTGATGGAGGTAACAGCAATAGCTTTGTCCTCCGCGTGACAACAGGCGAGCATTGTGCGTGTCATGTTTATCATGTTTGTTTATGGTTACACTGTTTAAATGTGTGAATACAGGCGATTTACTGTCACCTATCTTCCGGCAAAAAAACACGTTTCAACTCCTGAAATAAATTTAAAACAGTGTGAGTGCTGATGTATTGATATTTTTTGAATTACTGTGCCTCTCTAGGGCATTGTCTTCAAATAATCAGTGACTCCTCTCTTCCCACCTCAAAAAGTTCTGCGTATTGGATCACTGGGAAAGAATTCAGACAGCTTTTCAGAAAACACCATCAGTTATGTGTCTTTGATTTGCTTTGTCTTTGAGAGGCTTTCTTGAAGGGAGATGAGGAAACTAAGTCTAAGCAAAGTGAAAATCTTTATACAAGCTAAACAAAGCTTATATTTAAGTATAAAGGACGTACTGTATGTACATCAACCACTGGCTTGTTACCATGAATAGGAAATCAGCAAATGGTTATGCAAATGGTGCAGTTTGGCTTCCATATTCACACTAATGAAGTGCATTAGGGGCACATGATAAAATTGTCATTTATCTAAGTTGTGAGAAACTTCATGCAGACTTGGCCTGTTATTCTAGATTTATCTTGACTTTCACCTGTAAGACTTGACTGATAATACACCTCTAATATCCAGTTAGTGCTAGTTATTGGGATTTATCAGTGGTTGATGGTGGTGAGGTAATGGTGCGGGAGTTACTCACTGTACTCTATAAGGCTGTATGGAATTACAAAAACATAGAAATTGTGGGTAAATACTATATTGACAATTTTACCGGTCATCAAAAGACTTCATGTTGTAGGCATAACATTGAATTGCCCTGAGATGGACTGGCGAGCTCTCCACCATGTACACTGCCTCCCAAACAATGAATGTTGTAGATAGGCATCAACTTTCCTGCAACCCTGCAGGGATACCAGTAGATGTATAGACTGTTTTATTGAAGAATTTAAACCTGTTTTCACATGGAAACAAATGAGCTCTAATTTGATGATTTTATAAGGTACCTGCTAAAATATTTTTGCTTCATTAAACAAATAATAGTAGCACAAAGACATCGCCTCGTCAGCCAGACTAATATGCTTTGCACACGCAAAGGAGAGGGTAAAGCCCGATTTAAAACGTAAGACCAAGAGTGAGCAGAAACAGCTTAGAACCAATCAGATAACTACAGTATGAATGTGATTCAAACATTTGAAACTAAGGGAATCTATTAAATATTGTTCCATTGCACCTGCAATTTTGACATCTATGCCAATTGAAAAGCATTGCTGCTTTATGAGCCCACCTCCCGTGCTGTGATTGGTCCAGTCTGTTTAAGTTAAACAATTTACTGTATAATCCATATAAGTCAGTCTGGCTGGCCAGGCTAGAATAGACCCTGAATATCTGGTATATATATAATTAGCCTTTTTTTTGTAGTTAAGGAAGATCTAAGCAGTGCTCATATTCTATACATTAATAATGTAATAAAGTGCAACAGAATACATTTGTAAAATATATTTTACATCTTACCCAAGTAGGGACAATATTCATCTCTTTATCACCACAGTGTACTCCTCTTTTTATGGCTACCTAAACCAGAATTACACACCATATCAAAAGTTCAGATCATATCGAAGTGAAAGTTTTTGAGCATGGTAATGGAGTTCCTGTACGCTGTCGCTGTGTAATAGTGATGAATTCCCAAGGAACATAGCAAATGCATTAGTAGAATGTATCTGTGTTCCTTTGTCTCTATTAAACTATATAAATCACTTGACATTTCTTTTAGATTTAGTATATGTCCATAGACCTTTTAGCATCCAAATACCTGGTCAGCAAAGGAGCCCACATGTAACATACATGAGCATTTATCGCTCGTACGAACAAGGTAGATAGTAATATATATGTATATATATTTTTATACGCACACTGTCCCCATTTGCTTACAACTCATCTAACAGTGCAGAAGAATCAGAGAGCTTATTGGATGGGTGTTGACAGTGACTTTTGATAGGAAAATCTACCCAAGCCATTTTGCTAAGTAAAAATGGAGGATAATCACATTAAAAGGGCAAAAGACGGAAATGAACATAAATAAAAAAATATAATTCATTGTGACATTGTTTTTATGTCCGGGTGAAGGACCTAGAACTTTAGTGTTGAGTAGTGGAGAGAGAGAAATAGGAGAGCACACCAATCTGTTGGTCATAAGAAGACATGTATTGACATGGGGACTACATCAGAGCTCCTTCGACTTTCAGGAATTCATCAAAAATTTGATTTTTTTAATATGTATTCTCTTAAACAATAGTGCGAGTTATATACATATTACTTTGGTACACACTGTGCAAGAGGCCCTAAGATAAAAAAAAAAAAAAAAACCCTCAAACAAATACAGATGTATTTTGTAGCTGGTCTTCAGCTATCATGTCTTGATCTTTGCTGTCACTCAATGGCTGGGTGGGGGCTTCCTCCAGGGTAGAAGTTCACATGAATGACAGAAAAGGGAAACAACAGATGCACAAACACACATGCTTGTCACATTTCTGCTTTGGAATAAATGCTGTCTTTATGCGGCTTAAACCGAGAACAAAAGAGCAATCAGTGTAGATCAAAACTACACGTTTTTTATCTTTTCAAACAGCAACTTCCGCAGAGTCTCTTAATAACATAACATTAAACAAAAGAATATGTTTTAAACATCATTTTATTTCAAAAGTACACAAACAGGAACATATCTTTTCATAAGGCAAAGCTTAATTATTACAACCACACACATCAGAGAATCTCTGAGTCACAGTTTATAGGTACCACTTGCTGACTATAAATAAACTTTTTTTTATATATATACAGTTTATATTGTAACAGATTTTTTTTTTCTCATTGTGGAAAAGAAAGATAATTAGACAAACATCATATAACAATCCCAGCCACATAAAACGTCTCCAGAATATTTTGTTTAATCATAAGAACCAAGAATGTCCATGGAAAGTCAGAGCAGGGCAGGGGAAAAGTGCATCCATCTCTGTCCATGTGGGGCTTCATGGCTGCAATGCCCAGTTCCAAGCTCAGCTATAGACCTCAGGCCTTAGCTACTACCTAAAAAGGCTAAAAATTTATTTTTACCAGTGCCAGAGGCTTAACCTTAGATAACTTGCAGCACCAACTGGTGTATTTAATCCCTGTCTACCCTGATTCTTTATCCCCTGCATAATGCTTTAACATGAAATTAAAAGTGTGGGCTACGTTTGACATTAAATTAACTGAAAAAAGTCAACATAAATTCTTATGAATTCGTTCATTAGCCACGTTTATTAGAAAATTTTTAGCCCCTCTCAAACCCTATCAGCGTACTTTTTTTAAGGTAGGATTTTGACCATAGAAATTGTTTTTGCCTCTGGTTTCTCTGCAGCCCTAGGGTGAAATAAAATCACATTCAATGTATAGTTTACAGAGCAGGGTTGCTAATTTTTTGACAATCTTTCAATGTAGCTCAAATAACACTTCTAACATCTAATATTTTATATTATCCATTAGGAGTCCTTTCAAATATTGAACTATCCTTAGGGGATATACTTTGAGCTGGGGATTATGTAGGTGATGTTTTGAAAATAGGGCACAGTTTCATACAGGACAGAAACAGGGCACATATTCTTACAGGACTGTGGCATCATTACAATTCTTCAGTGCCGTGGCAAGCCAAGCCAAACCAGGTCAAGCTGAGGAGGAGATGAGTTGGGACCAGCTTTGGTCACCTAAGGAACAAGGTCAGGAACGATGAAAGCAGTGCTGCAGTGAGGGAAACGGTCAGACTCCTAGCCCTGCCACACTCCATTGAGTTCTCCTAGAGATGAAGAAAAAAAATATGAGAACTAAATCCATTATAGTGAGCTAGCGAAAGTACGTCTGCTTTGCCAATACCTCTGGATGAAAAGGGTGACATGTATCTGGTCGCCTTCTGTCTTTCTGCATCTTCAGTCTCTCACACTTAAGCGACTCGTTATGTGCAGTTGCAATTAAGGCAAAAAATCTGTGCAACATACCTGACTGAGTGTTTTCAGCAGAACCAAAAAATAATTTCCGAGAAAGAATAATTTGTTAGGGTGCATAGTTTTGAAGTTGAAGAAAGTGGAAGAATTGTTAAACTCCTGTTCACACACAAAAGAGAGAGCATAAGAAAACCCCAAAATCTTGCAGCTACAATTGAAACACAAAGGTACAAATATATACTAGTTACCTTTGAAGGGTAGGTAAAAAAGCCTGACACTTTTCTAATCTTAATTCTTTTTTAAACCTTTTTTTCCTTCCTCTTCACATGGATGTACTACTTTGTGTTGTAAATTTGCATAACATTGAGTTAAATTTTAAACATGTTGAAATATGATGCAAGGGATTTTTTTCCCTGGCTTTTTGGAAATGTATGCATGTTATTAATTGAAGGGAAAAAGGTGAGTATTTCCCATTACAATAATCAGTTTTGTACAGAAGATAAACTCAGCACTAGAAAAAATAAATTTCCAGCAATTAATGATAAACTTTCTACTACACTGTGTTGAGTGTTCTACTAATCATTACTCAGTTGCATACATTTTGGCTACCTAATAAAATGTCAAATAAATGCATACAAAAGAAAAATGTGCAATGTTTGTGGCTGGAGACATAAAAACATTTCTCTATTTGTCTGAAATTTAGTACTTCAGGACTCACTTACTGTTCAATGTCCCTATATAACATATGTTGTTCCATGTTTGTCACATTTTTCATTATAAACATGTTTATTAATATTTTCATAAGATTATAATATAAATGTATGAATTATGTTTGGAAATAACAGGCTTAATCAAATGAAATTTGATCTTAAGTTAGTGATTAGAAATAATTGTTTTTTTTTGTGTGTGTGTTTTTTTTTTAGAAAACTTCAAATAGACTTTCAGGGAGAAAAAAGGCATCTGAAGATCTTTGCCAGGCCCTAAAACAATTAAAAGGATATACATAATCTCTATGGGGTCCATGGTGATGGGTCCAAAATTGCTGCAGTCACACTTGTTGTCCACCACCACCATGAAAAGATTGCTGCTGGGGATCTGCTGAATCACAAATGACCTGCCAACAAAAGCACAAAGTCAATGGGAAAACAATGAAGGATGAGAAAAACGTAGGGAGAAGGAGATTTTGGATCAACTAGTAGTCAAAAAAGATTAGTAGAAATGAACTTTCAGATGAATAAGTGTGTTTATACAGTTGTGCTTAAAAAATGTACATACGCTCCCATTAAAGAAAATTATAAATTTACCCTAGTAATTCAAATAACACAAAACTGAAAAAGTAATATAAAATAAAAAAATATATATATTTAATGTTTATTTGGCAAAATATAATATTGATTTTGAAATTCTGTTTTAAAATATTTCTAAAAAACAAACTGTCCCAGACAAATTAAAGTACCTTGCTCATAAACAGTGAACAAACATACCAGTCAACAGGTGCAGAAGTCTGACTGAATATTCATTACTTTTGTCAATGTGAATTTATTTTACTAGCAGGTGATTCTTTGCTGTCTTTAATGGAAAGGTATGTACACTCTTGAATAATCCTTTCGTAATGTATAAAATGCATTGAAAAGACCACAGGATACATGACAAAGAGGGAAATATCTCTTTAAGTTCTCTGAGAAAACTCACAGGCACACACAATCATAAATTGATATGACCAGACATGATACACACATGAATTTCTGACTCACTAACTCTTAGCTATGTCTAGTCAAAGTTGAAAATCAATGGAGTGTTGCTGAATATAACACACTCCATCAAGAGACAAAAGCGAACCACACTTTGGAGCTTATTTCTTCCCACGTCTGTGTTTTACTGGCCTGGGAGATCAGGCCTCCAGCTCAGTGATTTATTTTCATGGTAGAGCTTCATGAAGGAGAAGGCTCGTAAAGATGATATTTTTTCCTTGATATCGCTCTTTCCTTTCTGTGGGTCTTCCCCTTTCTCTGCCTTTTACTTCACTTATCGGATGTATTATTTTATCAAATGTTAAAATACCACACCCCTCCTTATACATTGCCAGGGTGGTCAAGCTTTGACCATTGAAAACAGCAGAACAACTTTCTGGTTAAAGAAAAATATCCTAAACATATGACATTGCACAGCTGTTTGACTTAAACACACCCAGTGTTTGGAAAGTCAGCTCCACATCCTGTGTAAAAGCACAAATACCACAAAGACTGATTGAAGAATGCCTCAGATGGACAGCACCAGACATTAAGGAAAACTCTTTTACAAGCATAGACAAACCAGTCAACTTTAATCTCTGTGACTGAAGGAAAAGACTTGCAACTGGAGTGTTTTTGTTTTGTTTTTTCTGAGAGAAGTGTAAGAGAAGGACAGACATCGCTATGAGTGACATGGACACACAACATTAAAAATTGCAAATAAGAACTGGAGTAGGAGCTAAAGTTTGAAAGTCAGAAATAACAAAAATGGTGACAGTCTATCTGTCCTTTCCTCTAGTTTTTCTGAGAAAAACAATAGCTCACTCAGTGGCAAAGGAAGGCAAATATAGCCGTATGTTTTCTCCTTGTAAGTTTAAATCATATAGAATTACTACAGAGAAGTGGTAATGCACTGCCATTTACATGAAAAAGTCCCTCTGTGCTAAGATTTGGCTGAAGCTGTCCTTTGAGAAAGTTTATATGTTGCTGGGGATTTAATAGCCGCACGATAATTATGACCATGACTACATGTTTTGCATGGTTTAGATTTGAGATTTAGTCTCCAGATGACTACCAGTATGTGACTAACAGTTATAGAGGGATGAGGTTGAAAAAAAAATCTCAAAAACAGGCAAAGAGAATTAAAATAAAATTAAGCTCCTATTGTGTCATATTAATAGGTGGTTTCTGAAACAACCTTTTTAGATATAGTTACTTTCTAACAAACTAGGAGTTTAAAAGATGCTAGGCTAGAGAACACTATCAATCTAGAGTTACACTATCAATCAAACCCTAACTCCTTCAACAAAATACCAATGGGATGAAAAATGTTGTTACCAAATAATTTAACTGTATTAATAATACAATGAATGTAAAAAATTACAATAATGTAATAAAACATATTGATCTTTTGTTATTTAAAATAAACAGCTGTAGACACCAACTTTTACATCATCAGCTGCTAGTGGAAATATATCTAATAGTGCTCTACATGCCAATCTGCCATAAGGAAATGGTATTAATGACGAAATCAAAAGCAGCATTTTGTGTTCAATAGCATCAGTTCATCATGTCAGATAATGAAATACCACTAGAGGGTTGGTGCTTATCTTCAGTACAAATGTAAACACTGGAGGTTTTTTATTTTAGTTATTTGGTTTAAATCAACCAAAATAGGCTCTGCTACAGTAAACAAAATTACAAAGATCAATAATTATCCTGGGAGTTGGTAGTATTAATATGGTTTGATAAAAATAAAAAAAGATACATCCAAATCTTTGAAATTAAGCTTGAAAAGCACCAAATCTTACATAATTTAGATAGCCTCATTTAGCCAATCTAAAACTTTAAAATGTGTTTTTTTTCTTTTTCTGCTGTGTCATTATAGTAATTGAAAAAAAGCTATTTCTACAAATAATGACACATACAGACAGACAGTCAAAATACAGCATAGCAGCATTAAAGAGCATGAATCTATTTTCTTCATCATTAGGTATTAAACCAATATCTCAATGACAAACTGAGGATATTTAGAAAATAACATAATGAGATTCTTAATACAAACAGTCTAATGAGTTGCAAAATGTAACTTAATAAAATAAAGATTAATTACATATTTCTAGATTTCTTCTCAAAGACTTAGAGCAAAAATTTGCTTACAGAAGATGTGTTTGTAAAATTATACATAGTGTCATCACTGGATAAAAAAAACTATGTCATGTAAATCCGAACTGGTGTGTGAGAGCCTGAGTAGGTGTTGCCTTTTGTGTGTTTTGCATTATGACTGGATCCCCAACCGCATTTTAGACATGGCACCAACTACAGTGGTTACCCTGCCGACCTTGAGGGGCTCTACAGGCAGCACACACAGAAGGGAAACACACAGACACACAAACACATGCACACAAACAGATTTCCAAGCTCACTGGCAGTTCCACAGCTGGGAGCAATGAAGGGCCCATTGGAGGGATCCAGAGAACACCCCACAATTGCCTGACAGAAAATCCCAAATTGTTAATGGGGACCACACTCATTTTCCCATTTTTAAAAGGAAGCCTTTTTTTAAACTCCTCTCCCTCATCCCTAAATGCCTCGTATTTCAAACTGCTGGAGGACAGAGTTGGGGGTTTGTGTGTGTCTCTGACAGATTGGCTTGATAAATGTATTTTCAACACAAAACAAATGAGTTTTTCCCTTCATCCTGTTTGGAGGTGTATATGTGAGTTCTTTCTTGTTAGATGCTTTATGTAACAGTTTTCTACTCAGCTCAACTGTTATACATTCCTTGGTGACTCTTACTTGATGCAGCCATCACAGTCAATGTTGCCCATGTTTTCTTTGATTGTTCTTTCTGAGACGAAGGCTGGGTACTCTGTGTCACATGGCACCTGCATATGTGGACCTGCCCTCTGAGCTGAAGTAAGGTTGGATTAAAAAACATGGAAAAAGAGAGGCGACTGGTTAGAAAAATAGACCATAAAGAATGTAAGAAATGGTAAAGGACGGAGGCAACTAACCAGTAAGTTAAAATGTGCAGGAAATTTAAAGAATGTGTTAAATTTTATACATGGAAAAACAAAAACAAACTTAAAGGTCATGAAACTGGATTGCAGACAGGCAGTTTAACACACCAAATCAACGATATAAAATCATATTAAAACAGTATTTGTGAAGCAGAACAACTTTTTCTGCTTTCAAATGTCAATTTAGGCTATTCATTCTCCTCAAACATTGCTTGAACACTACTGCCACCAAGAGGTCTGAGACATTTCTACAAGCTGCTTTTAGAAACTTCCAAGAGAAAATTACTTAATTTAAAGCAAAGTGCTTCCCTCATTTTTACGACAGATTTCTAAAGATGGCAGATTATTTGTGTGATTAGAATGAGGTAGTTTAATTACAGTGAGTTACTGTATTACCACAGCATTGCCTGACTTTGTGTGCGTATTTGTGCGTCCAATTAAAACCATACATGAGGATAAACGTGTGGGATTAGATAAGCTTGAGTAGCCGTGCAGATTTAGTTTCAGGCTTGCTAGGCTGTTGTGTTTCAGCTGTGTGTTACAAGCCCCGGTGTCGTTGTTGTAAAAAGATACAGAAAGTGCTTCTAATACCTGAGGCTAGCCAGCTGTAAAATTGTCTCAAATGCCTGGCGAGTGGCGATGCCCAGCTTCCCTTCATCCAGGATTAAAATGTGTGAGTAAAGCATTTTATGGAATTTTTCATTTTGCCGTTCTTTATTCTGTCCCTCTCTCACTTTCTGAAAATATTTTATTAGTTTTGGCGGCAATTAATATGACACTGTGATGCGGCTTAGTCTAAGTTTTATTCCAGACAGGGAAATGGTCTTCAACACTCCATAAAGCATGAGGAATCCCAACATTTACTGCTTTATGGTAAAAAAAAGTTGAAGCAAAGTTATAAAAATAAAAAAAGGGAAAAAGAGAGGAGGTACTTATTTCAAAAAGCAGATGTAATTTTTCTGAAATATCTACATTAATATACATTAATGTAGATATTAAAAAAAAAAAAAAAAAAGCATAAGTTGAAGGATAATTAATACATACAAGCTGGCCTATAAAAGACTTTTTTGTTTTTACAGTTTTGAAAACAATCAGAGAAATCATGACAGAGGTGTGGCTGTTTGAAAGTGTTTTTAGTCTGAGTCTGCAAAGCATTGGTCTCTGCTTAGATCACACAGAGGCCATACTTAAACCGCTTAGAGCTCGAGAATGTATCTCTCTAAGCGTACTCTGAAAGTAACCAGAAAGTAAACAGTCAAGTGATATATTTTACTATTCCCATTTAGAATTCCTTAAGTAAAGTTTTATGCCATCAGCAGAAAAAAATAGGGATTTTTTTTCTTTGCTTAAAGTTAAAAGATCAACTACAGATAAGAAATAGTCTTTTATTACTTTGACCCTAACAAACCCTTCAAAACTACTCAAACAAAAAATAAGTTACTTCTGTGCTATGAAGAGAAAATCCTTTTTATCATAAATCTATCCATTGAAAAAACATTTAAAGTAGTAAAAGTTACAATATTTCTCACAAAATGTCCTTTAGAACAACCGATTCTTACCTTTAGCTGTTACATCGACGTTCCACAAACTATACAAGTTGAATTCAACCAGGAATCTAAATATGGAAAGGACATAGATTACCATTACCAATATCCAGAAATATCTGTATGTTATAAAAGCTGCAAAAGAACCTCAAGTAACTTGCTGTTATCATTTGTGCATAATACAAGAGCACAACAATGTAAGAATCCTTAAACACAATAAGTAAAATTTTAAAGTAAAATGGTTGTTAGTATTCTGTGTAACGTTTTTAAGAGATCATCATACCAAGATTGCAGCGCGCTCTGGCGTCCTTTATTAGTAAGCAATCTACACCAAGTAACCATTTTCTAAGTTAGCTGCTGTTATTGGGGTGTATGGTAAAATATTGAATTTTGGAAGTCAAGTCCCATTTATTATTAAACCATAGCACAGACAAAGCATATTTAAATGCAGTTTAAACATGTGACTATATTTTACATCCGATACCTTTGAATTTGTGTTAATATATCTGGGATTTTGTCAGAATCATGCTATGATGCAAACTATTGTCAATTTGTTCTCATTCACCTTATGAAACTTTTCTATAAATATAAAATATTCAATTTAACTAACAAATTTGGATTTACCATAAAAAAGTGTTTCAACCTTATGAAATTCTCACTTTCAAATTTAAAGAGGTACAGTAAGTTGCTCTAACTTTCTTCGAAATGTCTGTATGTAAAGTATAATATACTCTGCATGTTTTTATGATGCATTGTTAAGGGAAGATGGATACTTTACTTAAAGATAATTATTAAGATTATGAAATACAAAAACAGCTCACAAAGAATGATAACAATTATATATAATTATTAAAATGATTTAATGAAATTGCTTCAAAATATATAAACATCAATATGTGAGTTATATCAGAATTACAATTATAGTTATATCAAAGTAGACTTGAGTTATCTCAAAACATTGAGCTGAAAAACAGAAGATTTAAGTTTAGTGCATTATTTTACACTTTAAAGCTATTGAGTTCTCAAGCCTGTAGCCTTAAAAACAGTGACACCAAATCGGGCTGGATGACTATCAGAAAAGTCATGTTCCTAAATAAGTCCTGACTGAGATGATGCCATTTCAAACTCATGGTGAAATGTATAAAGAGAAAATCAGATTTTCTCAGTTGGTCTTACATAACTTTAAAGACTCTTGGAAAAATTAAACGTATTGAAAATTTGAGATGGTAAGAATAAATGTATATATTTTTAACCCTTCCTTTAAAGCTACAGTAGGGACCTGTGAGAAAACTGTGAACAGCGTGAAAATGTAAACAAGCAAACCCCACAATGGTGCGTGCTATGAAGGCCTCAGGTGATGGTGGATAAACAGTTATGGCACATTTACTGATAGGAACCAAACATCAGCTAAATGTTTTACATTAATCCAGTACACAGCTGTAGCTCACTGTTAATCTTAAGCTTTCTCTTGGCTCAGATTGGTTGTTTTTGACTAGGAACAGTGTACTCTTGTAAAGAATAGCAAAGACACTGGGAGAAGAGAGATGTTCTGCCACATATTCTACTGTCAGGGCATAGAGACAGTGTTAACAACTATGTGATGAAACATATTTTTTTTTTTTTACAAAAGCTGTCTGATAGAACTGTGAATAACTTTTACATATTATACCTACGTTTTTGACTTAATAAACACAGAAAGTAATCGAAATGTTCTGCCCAATTTGCATCTGACATAGAACAAATAGAAATGCCAAAAAGACTGCAACTGATCTGTCCAAATGACATACGAATAAATGTTATCCTACTTTGAGCATTACATAAACTTGGGTCAACATTTCACTTTTCTAAAAATAGTATTTTTCCCATTTCTCTGCATTTATCTCTAATGTGTAAAAAATAAATAAGTACTGACAACTCAGTCTTCCCATGATGCATTGTGGCAGTGACAGACCACCCAACAGGACAAAACCACAACCACAAAGTGGCATCACAGACATACTCATCCTGCAGGAAACATCAGGTAGCCATTACTGGTTATGATCACAGAGGATCATATAAACGTACATGTTAAGGCCTTCATAAACAAACGCACAGCAGATATAAAGTATACTCACAAACATACAGCTAATCTCAGAGCAAAGAGACCTAAATACAAGTCTTCAGAAACCACATACTGTATATGCACAGAGCATATAACAAGAGACAAGGGACATTCTCCTTACATGACAAGCTCAGTCAGTATCCACTTCAAAGCTGCAAAAACAGCAAAGTAAGGCTAAAAAGAAAAACAGAAAAATAATATTGATTGGAGAGTAGCCATATACATAAACCTTACAATATTGTTAAAATGCAGATGCTAAAGAGTACTCACATCCAGCAGCGTGTGGCCACTGTCACTGCTCTCAGAATGGACCCAGCAGAGAGCCTGGTAGTCATACAGTGTGACCCTGTGGAGATGAAGACAAAAAAGACCAGTATTTCCCAACATTTTTTGACTTGTGTACCCCCTTGGGTATTTTGTTTTACCATGAGTACCCTCTCAATCAAAAGTATTGATGATTGTCGAAAAGTGGACATACAAGAACTGATTATAAAACAAAAAATATTTTACTAAATCTTTTAACCTGAGCATTTAATTATTCTAAGACATTTTAGTCTTCTCATCTCAAGTAGCTGGTGAAGATTCTCAGTAATCCAGGTCATAGCGATTCCTAAAAAGTTAAAAAACAATCCACTGGACTTTTGTTTCCAAGTTTGAAGACATTTCGCTTCCCATCCAGGAAGCTTTTTCAATTCAAAATGTCAGAATTAGAGTTGAGTTTGAAGCTTTATATAGTAGCCCAAAAACTTGTTTTGGCTTACAAAACATGCAAATTAAAGAATAGGTCTGTCCCTTAGGAACGGGGAGTCGTTTTGGGTTCTTTGTTAGCCTGCAATACCCGATACTGGGCTATGTCTTTGAAAGGGGGGTCGTTAGGGGCAATTGTTGGCTTGGCTGCCCAGGCAAGATGTTTACACACCCGTTCTTCTGCTTCAATTTTCATGTTTTCAAAGCTAAAACAAGTTTTTGGGCTACTATATAAAGCTTAAAACTCACCGCTAATTCTGACATTTTGAATTGTAAAAAAAAAGCTTCATGTATGGTAAGTGAAACATCTTCAAACTTGGAAACCAATTCCAGTGGATTGTTTTTCAACTATTTTTCAACTCATCTCAAATAAAAAAATAACACAAGTATGTTGCCTGGAAGTTAGTATGGAATCGATAAAAGTAAAAAATAAAGTCATATTATAAAAATTGAATTTATAAAACTGGAGATCATTTAAGTAACTCTCTTATTATCACATTTAATTCATTTTAATATATTTGATGAATTGTGAACAAAATACAGAACAAAAATTATAGTCAGACTGACTTAAATAGTTTTACTTTGTTTTCATCAACACATGCAAAGGTTGCATTGATAAGTTCAGATAGCTCACTGTAAAAAAAAAAAAAAAGCTGACAGAAGGCTGTTCTCTACTTTCACTCTGTTCCTTTGCCTCGTTTAGGTGAACTCAAACATATAAGAAAAACATACTTTTTTGGTTGATAAAAGTTTGTTTAATTTTTCAATTGGGTCCTCACAGAGCAAAACCTTTCCAATACATTTTTTATATTACTACCTAAAAATTGTAATATTTTCATGTACCCAATGAACTGGTGGACCACTAGGGGTACCCCCGCTTGGGAATTACTGGAATAGACAACTAGACAGTGACACAGAACATCTAAAACAGAAAAAGAGATAAAAATTGTCCTTAGTTTTGCAGCATTTTCAAGAAATATGCCAAAAATGAAGATATAAATCTTGATCACTTATTCTCTTTGCAATTACATGCCTTGGGGGACTTTCATACTGCAGGAGCGGGAAGAGAGGATCCCACCTGTGCAATAACTGCCACTTCATCTACAAATATTATACAGAATGGATGTGGAAAGAATGGAAGTCGGAAAGCAAGTGAAAGCTGAGAGCTTCCTCAGAGGTTTGTCAAAGTGATTTCAGAAAAGTCTGTGTGTGTAGATAATTTGAGGGATATTGGAGGGATATCAGAGGATTTAGAAGCTTAGTGGACCCTGAGGGGGTGAGATCTAGCTCCGTCTGGATGAGGTTATTGCTAAGGTTTCAAACTTGCCTTTACACAATGGACACTCTTTTCCATGGTCTTTGGAAGAGGTCTGACACACACGATATACCTGTCTGTGAATGGCTGTCCGAGCATGTGTGACGATGGACTGGGTCTAATATATCTGTAGCCGTAGGCAATGCTGAAACCTCAGCCACAGTACTGATGTCATACAGCTCCGACACATTGCCCAGAATCAATTAGTGCTAAGTAAGACCAAATGGATGGGTTAATGAATGAGTTCAACTCATGTTAAATGCCAAGGTTGCAAATATCAGAGAAATATCCCTAACCAAACTTATCAATTTATTATATGTTAACATATTTTTTATAGGTTGAAGAATTAGTTTATTTTGTCAAACACTGAATTCTGCAAAAATAACAACAAAAACAGTCATATGGAACTGCTTCTGTGATATTTGTCATTAATAATTGGGGACAGTGATTAATATCTATATTATATTTGAAAACACATTTCTTAGCAATATTTGTCTCCACAAAGAATTAAAAAGATAAACAATAAAATATGTTATGAACTGAAATAAACAAATTGAGAGGAGACAGCTAAAATTTGACTTTGTATTTGCAAAGTTAAACAGTTCTCTAGAAATAAAGCACACAGAAATATGTGTTCAGCAGGTATTTATATTTATGAAACAAAGTTAATGGCAAGTTGGTGTATAGAAGATTTTCCAAAACCAACTGGACAGAAAGAAAGTCAGAAATATTATTTTATGTTAAAATATAAAAAAAATATAAAAAAATATAAAATCCTTAACATCACTGAATGAAGTGGTGCAATCAGGATAAAAGGCCTAGGTCAGACCATATAATACTAATTAAATGTGATTTACTGTCAATGAGAATGTTGAAAGAAAACTAAGAGGCACATTTTGGAGAACTTTTTAAAGAAAAAAAGAGATTTTTTTTCAATTCATGTGTTTAACATTGTTATTACAATATTATAATTAGGCGGTTACTTAATAAACAAGGAATTCTTAAAAAAATAAAGTGGAAGAATCATTTTAGTGATAAAATAAAATCTGATAACAAATAAATTAATAGAGAAAATTTGGTTTACTTTTAAACGGAGGGCAAAAATGCAAAGTTGCACATCTGTCTCTGGGCTGATTTCTTACAAAAAGTAAATGAATCTATTAACTATGAGTTAAAATTTCTAAATAAACAAAACTTTATATTGTGGTTCAATTTCAAACATTTAAGTAGTGTATTGGCACAAACTAATAATCGGAGCACAAAAAGCCAATTTTTTTATGAGTTTGTTGGCATCAAAGATAATATATTTTCTCATCGTTAGTTGTTCTGTTCTAGTTATTCAAACTTATCAATAAATCAATTTTGAGCTCTTCAACTTGACTTTAATATGTTTTTGTACAGTATTTATTGTCAGAGAATTGATGTTTTCATAGAGTAATCCTGAATTTCCCATTTGAAATTATTCTTAAAACTTAACACCAACACTTAAGTGACTATAAACATTTTTAATGTATCTAAAGTATTGCTTTCTGCATAAATTAAAGCTCACAGGGAATTTCAAAATGCCAATTTTGTTAAAAAAAAAAGACAAAAAAGCAGATATATTGATTTAATCAGTAGTTAGATGTAAAGGCTTGATCAATCCTGATGCTGCTACACAAGACAACATCTGTCTTTCTTAATCTCAGATGATTCACCAACCTTAGGGAGTCAAGGGAATCCCTTGTAGGAATCTTTTATGTTTATGGGGGCCTGTAAACAATTAGCTCTCAGCTTTTGAGGGTTCATTTCAATAAAATATCGGTTTGGGGTTTGCACTTATGCAACAAGTAACAGTTTTATATAGACAGACAGAAATTCCGCCTGGCCCATGTCCCATAGAAGGAGTGGAGGGTATTGCCCTGTTGTAGACTTAGGAATGTGGTTGCAAGCTTCAGTGAAAAGCTAATTTACACAGGTTTATAAGTATTCATAGATTTAACAAGTTCCACATAATTTCATAATTGCTTTATATAAAACCATAATTTCTGCTGTTGAATCAGAATCAGAAATACTTTAATAATCCCAGAGGGAAATTACTGGGAAAGGTTTCCCTAACAGAATCTGAAATATAATTACAGACTCCAGCTGTTGTTTTTTTTTAAATTCTTTTATAAGACGAGCATGTCTGTCAGCATGCAATTTTCTGTATGTTAGTCTGATATATGTTTTGCAAATGCATAAATCTTACCTCTTTTGTTTCAAGAGACAGATCTGCTTTAATTCCCTAATGGAGTTCACCAATGCAAGCTGGGTCAGAGTTTAACTATGAACGAATCAACACGATTGACTGCGTTTAAAGCTGTCAGCATGAAAGGAGACATGCTCTCATTTTGTAACCTGCCTTTTGATTTTTTGCACATGTATATATGCATACATCCACTCACCCTTATGTATAACCTCCAGCTTTGAAATTCAAAGTGTATTCACACCCTCTCACACACACACACACACACCTTTACAGGCACGCACATATGGATTACCGTTTGAAAGAGCCCATCTGCAGCAACTTATTCATCACAGCTCCTTCTGCTTCACCAAAAAAATTTCCAGTCTAAAAGAAGATGAAGAGATTGAGAAAGTATTTGTTTTCATTTACTTTTTGAAAAAAAGAATCTATGCATTTCAATACATTGTATATTGTACATCTACTTCCCAAATTGAAACATGCTAAGTTTAGACCATTCATTAAAGCTTATAGTATGCTACCTAAAAGTTAATGTGTTGATTGGCGACGGCCTGATTTTAATACCACTGATCCTGTTTTTTTTTTTAAGGCATTATAAAGGGCTCTGTTGCATTAGCTTTCCTCTCTTTAAAGGTAGGTTTGTTTTTGATTAACGACCAATGCCCCCTTATGGTATATATACTACAACTCGTTGTTATGGCCTTTTGGAAGAGAAAAATTTGGAGAAATGACGAGTTTTCATGATACCCCTTGTATTTTTTTAAGTCTGTTACCAAAATAAAGTTATGGACATATTTTGCTGAAATTTTCAACAATGGTATGTATTAAGCCTGGCAACAAATGATTGAATTTTGGTGATGATCCAAATCACCATCTGGACACAGGAATCTTTTAAAAGATTCTGTGAATACAGGTATTAACTTAGTGGAGGTCTGCACTCTCTGAGTGCTTTGCTAGTTCCACTTGCCTGTCAGTAAGTCAATATGAAATAACAAATGATCTTCTCCTGACTTATGCATTTGTCCAATTATATTCTTTAGAATGTTTGTAGCCACTTTTTAAACTATGTCTTCAGCAAAAGGATGTACAAGAGCAAATTGAAAGACAAAATTTCATGGCAAGGCAAGGCAAGGCAAATGTAAAATATAGGAAAATAAAACAGAATCAAAGCAAGTAGGAAAAAAAAATAAAATAAAAAATGCAGAAACAAAAAAGAACATTAAAAACTGTTGGACTAAAGAAAATAAAAAAGTTGAACTAATGATGTTTCAGTTGAACTGTTTAACTAGAACAGTCGAAGGCAATCCTAAACAAATGTGTTGCTAGTCTTGATTTAAAGGAACTCTGGCTTTCCACACTTTTATAGTTTTCTGGAAGTTTGTTCCAGATAATGGGGACATATGAACTTAACAGTTAATTATACATTCATCTTAATTGAGATAACTGGTGGCCAGGGAGAACTTACTAAAAGTAAATTCTTAAATTTAGTAAAATGGTGTTTCAAAATTATTTTTTTAGGCTGCACTATTATCATACATCTCCATTTATTAATGTATTGTATGTTTTCTTGATTGTATTTTTGGCTTGTGTTCTTGGATAGTACTCTTTTAGAGACCTCTTAGCCAGGTCATGTTTGTGAATTGAAGTGAGTTCTTAAAACAACAAATATATGAAAAGGCATAAAAAACAGGTATTCTCTAAACAGGAAAAGACAGCAGAATATATTGTTTATGTAAAACTGGTGTGAGTCATATTTTTTCCAAAGTCAGTAAATCACTTCAAGTAAAAAGTCCCACATGAAAAAATATACTTATCTAAAACTAGAACAATATTTTAAACATTAAAAGCATCTACCATGCATGGTGCAAACAGTTTAAAATATATATTATAGACGCCTTAGAAGAAAAAGGCATATATTTTTTTACAAATCAAGATTTAATTAAAAAGACTAAGCTAAGGGTATCAAAACAGAAGACAAATGTAGGCCAACAAAAAGAACATGCAGAGAGAGAGAGAAGGGCAATAACAGCCAGCGGACTGAGTGACAGTCAGAGTGACAGCATGTCTGGTGACAGCTAGGCAGAAGGTACATGCTGTTATGGCACTCTATGATTGAAAGTAGTGTTTGCACCAGAATTAAAACTGAAATATATGTATATATGTACTCATGTCTTACCAGTGAATAGTCCTCAGCTACAAGAATGAAGCCATTGTTGTCAATGAGGTAGCAGTTAATATTCTGTCAATCAAAAATTACAGTTAATTGCAGATTCATCATGTAACAAATCACAGACTAAGAAGAAAAAACATGTCTGACCTCATCATCACAGCTTATGGAACATTTCCCATCTAAAGCGGCACACTAAAAAATACCCATTAAAAAAAGGTCAGTCAGCAAAAACATCACTACATAAAACAACAACAGAAACAAACAATAATGAAAATATTGAGGTGTAGGGGTGCCTTAAAAGCGGTCAGCAGTAGGTATGAGAGATGAAATTTGAAAATCGGTCCTAGTGATTTCTTAGATGTTAATTCTGTATGCAGCAGTTGACTAGAATGGAATAATAAGGAAACTCATTCTGATGCACACATCAGAACTCTAAAAAAACAGCAGAGGGTGCCATTCCTGTTCATTCACAGAAATGAAGAGATCTTGCAGGAGGATAAAGTAGATGGGGAAACATTCTTTAACTAATATTCCAATTCTAATTTTCAGTATACAACTTTAGCAGTTACCTAAACTTCTGGGACAGAAAAAATAGATAGTAGGGATTTCACCACCTAGGGTTTTATCTATAAGGAAGTGTTGGGTGTTAAATTAGTTAAGGTGGTTTCTGATCCACACACTACAGTTGTAAAAAGAAAACACAAAACAATAGCAAAGACTTCTGCTAAAATCTGAGTTGATAGAATTAAGATTTAGATGGAATCTTTTTTTAGTTAGGAAGAGGAAGTATTGAGAAAATGCTGAGACCAAGAAGACCAGCTGCCTACTAGTGGATTTAAAGGTGTTCTCAGTTGAGATCTGTCTGTTTGGAATTTAAACATCAAAAGTAAAAAATAATAATAGTAAAAAATACAAAGCTAGTGTTACAGTATTAAGATATACACTAAAAATTTTGAAAACTGCATATTGACACACTGCATATTGACACACATGCATAAAAGGGCCCATGTTTTGTCATTTTCATTATTGAAGAAACCAATAAGCTGTGAGGCTTTTAGCTTCAAAAAGTAGGTCAACACACTCTTTGAAAGACAGCCCAGCTAGGGAGCCACACTGAAATAAGAATTCTATATGACTCATGCTTTAACATTTTAATAGTGAATCAGTAAACACAATTTACACCACATAACTTCAGCAACAGACAGTTTTTCATGTGGTTACTTTTTTAAGGTGAGGATAATTTGTGAGGGTTATTCTCAGCATGATCTGTTATTGTTTAAGGTCAATCAGATCAACTGCAGTCACTACACCACTCAGCCTCGACTGAATTGCTTTGATATTGTATTTTAAATGGTTGTTGTGTTGAATTTGCTGGTCTTTTGAAGAAAATGTTTTACTTGCCTGCCATTTAATAGACTCTACTTCTCTCCCAATTAGATAATGTTAAATCTTGTTTACTACAACAAAGCAACTAATAGACAGGTAAAGTAAAATCAATAATAATAGACTATAATTTCCAAAGTAGATGGGAAACATTCAACTAATACTCCCATTCGTTCAGTATACCATTTTAGTACACATGGTGGCCGAAAGATGCAAAACAAAGTAATCACAGAAAGAACACTTATGGAAAAAACAGAGTTGTGTTTCAGTGTTTTTAGATTTTCAAATGTGTTTAAACTTCACACATGGATGCTTTAAACCTAAAGCATGCTAGTTTTAGCACGTGTACCTGTCTGCTGGCTGTCCAAAATTTTCTCTGAAAAAACTCCAACTTTATCTGGATGCCAACAGCTAAAAGAGATGCAAAGAAAAACAAAAACAAACATCAAATTTAGAAAAATGACTAATATCAGAGTGTGAATCCAACAAAATAACATTTTCAAAAGTAGTTCAGTTGTCTTGCAGGAAATATTGAAGGGAAAGCAAAGTATCCTACAAATCAGAAAAAATAGCACATTTTTGGGGGGATTTTGATGTGACTGTTCTTTTCCTGTGGAGAGAGTAAGACAGACAGACAGACAGACAGACAGACAGACAGACAGACAGACAGACAGACAGACAGACAGATGAATCCATCCATTTTTCATCGCGTATATCCCTGCTGGGGTTGCAGGGTTGCTGGTGCCTATCTCTAGCTGTTAATGGACAAGGGGAGTCCATCAGATCTATTTGACACAATATCATTGAAGGTTACCCAAGAGAAAAGAGGATGACATCTATTTGCTTTTGCGTAAGGAGGGGGTCTCTGACTGTTTTTTCGACTGTCGTGTTGAAAATCCCTGAACCACATTATGGACAAAGAAATAATTGTCACGGTTAAGTGGCACCAAGAGTAGAATGTTTTCTACTTCCTTATGCAGTGTGGTGTTGAAATCTTGCTGTTTGTGCTGTACATGCCTCTTAGAGCTGGCCAAAATTAGGGAAGATCTGCATGTGTATAAAAGCTGTGGACATTGTGATCAGTTACTCATTTTCTGTATGGATTGCACATGAGTCAGGCATAACCCAACCATTAGAGATAGGGTGAGGAGCTTGATCAGGAGAGGATTAGAGTAGAGCTACTAATCCTCCACATCAATGGAGTTAACTGAAGTGTCTTGGACATCTTTTCTGGACGGCCCCCGGACACTTTTCTTGGGAGGTGTTCCAAGTAGTTACACCAGAAGGGGCAGAACCAGGTAATGATGGAAGGACTATGCCTTAACTGTCTCACGACCTGGGAGTGCCAGTCACAGGAATGCTAGCTACCAGGCCAGCCGGGGGAAACAGTCCAACAAATTAAGTTGGTGATAAATGTTGTAACCGCACATGTAATGTATACTTAAATATTGAAAATGTCATACCACCATTATTGAATAAAATTATACATTGGTTGTATGTAGGTACATACATAAGTACATACATAAGTACATACATACATACATACATATATACATACATACATACATACATACATACATACATACATACATACATACATGGAAAAGTTGACTATAGAAGTGGATCAGTAGATGCTTAGCATAATAAAATAATAATAATAATAAAATAAAATAAAAATATATACTTTCCTTTATTAGAAAAGAACAGACTATGATAAGAACAAACGATTTCTCCGTCTATTTATTGAGCTTCTACACTAGGCCAGAGACACTTTTTAGGGCAGTTGTGGCTCGTGGAAAGAGTAGCTGTCTTGCAATTGAAAGTTTGTGCGCTTGATTTAGACTCCTCCCACCATTTTTTGATTTACCCTTGGGCAAGATACTTAACCCAAGCCTGTCTGTTCAGATCTGGGACTTAGAGCATTAAAGTGTTGTGGCTGTCTCTGGGTTTAATTGTAAAAGAACTTTGAGGGTTCGGAATGCCTAAAAAGTACTTTTTTTCAAGTACCAAGGGACTTAAACTCCTAAAGAAAAAGATAGATAAAGAAGGTTGTTTTTTTTTACCTCAAATAATTTTTTTCTCATTTTTAAAATTATGTGATTTACTGGTTGTTTGTTTTTTATTATTCATCACAAAGGTTTTCTAATAAAGGATTGTGGATGTATGCTAAACTCATGGCTAATTGGTGAAAGAATGTAGTGTAGCTGCTCATTAATGCTAGTGGTGATGGCATGCAATATTTTTTATATTCAGATAAGCAAAGTGAGAGTCTAAGATTCTGGAAGACTTGCATTCTCTAAAAATCATCAATGGAAGTAACACCCAGATAAAGCAAGATAAATATGCTCTTAGATTACAGTGTTTCATCCTTTCATGCTACTGGAACCAGTTGTTAAGTGATACATTTTTACTTAAAACAATCCTCTCATACTGTAAGCATCCTAAGGACAGGAAAAGTTGCAATTTAACAATAGAAAATAGGTTCAAATGTGTTCTCACAGCTCAATGTAATGTGACAATATAATTGTGTAAATGCATGCAGTGGGGCGCCACTGTGACCCATTTTAGCTCCTGCCCATAGGAACAGGTGCAGATTATCCCATCCTAAGCTTTGCCAGATCCTTTCGGCAGCCCACCATCTCTACACCCACATGAAAAACCCGGGAGAAGAGGCTAATTTAAGATACTGGGCAACAGGAATGAAAACAGGTAAGATGGAAATAAGATAGACGAATCAAAAGTACAGACACAAAGTTGTCAGAGAGGAGAGCTGTAAATCTGTACAATCCATTCCAGATTTGAAATGAGCAGACTAGAAATTCCTTCAGGAAAGGTTAATGGTGGAAGGATTAATCTATTACAGTAGCTTGAAGGATTGTTCTGTGAAATGGCTGTAGGAGTTGAAGGTACTCTGATTTCAAATTGTACCTCAGACAATTCAGGATAACAAATCTACTCTACCTCACTAATACATTTATTTTTGTTCTATGTTTAGATATGTAATTTCCCTATGTATGATTTAAGAACATCGGAGTATTTATGCTCTGAGCTGGGTTTATGAATCCAAAGATGAAGAGAGAGAAAATCCACTCTAAATCCATCCCATCACAAATCTCCTATCAGTTTGGTCCCAAGCAGGGGGGATGACAACCAGTTTACTGCCTGCTGATATAGGATTTTAGCAAGGGGTGAATAAATGTGTAGGATGTTGTACAAGTGTTCGTACACCTAAAGTGTTTATTTTATCTTTTTATTTTATCAAATAGCAGATTTCTTCAGTGTTCTTCAGTTTTTTTATGTTGTTGTGAGATGAATCAAAGTCAGTGGCCGTCACATGGACCGCATAATTCACTACAAATCAGTGCAGACAGACAGACAGACAGACAGACAGACATACAGACATACAGACATACAGACATACAGACATACATACATACATACATATATATATATATATATATATATATATTTATTAATTTTTTTTATTTATCCGAAAATAGATGCACCTGTTGAGGTCATTAGCTGCATAAAGAAACCTATCCACCCCATACAACAAGTAAGAATCCAACTGCTAACGTGGCCAAGACAAAAGAGCTGTCCAAAGACACTACAGACTAGATTGCACACCTCCACAAGGCTGGAAGGGCTAGGGGGAAATTTCCAAGCAGCTTAGTGAAAAAAGGTCCACTGATGGAGAAATCTTTAGAAATTGGAAGAAGCTAAATATGATCGTCAATCTACCTCGGACTGGGGCTCCATGCAAGATCTCACTTGGTGGGAAGAAGCTGGTCAATGACCTGAAAAAAGCTGGGACCACCGTTTCCAAGGTTACTGTTAATACACTAAGAAGTCAAGGTTTGCAGGTTCCCCTGCTCAAACCAGCAGGTCAAGGCCCGTCTTAAAGGAAAAGTCCTTTAATAATTTTCTTTGCGATCACTCTGGGAGCAGCCATTTTTGTCCAAATATAGTAACACCTCATTCCTGACATCTTCCGACAGGGATGTTACGGTGCAGTTAGCAGAATGCCATTCTCCCTGCTTAACAAGCAAAATCGATGAGAACTATTATACACACCCCCAATCAGCAAAGATTATTTTAGATTTCCAGAGGGCTTCACCATTGAAATTTGTGAGAGCCATTGTTAAAGTGGCAATGCCCACGTGCATGGCAGCTGGATGTTGCAATACATCGGGTCAAAGTAAAAAAAAAAAAAATAGTTTTTTTCACCTTCCTGATTCATGATCCAACACGGGTTCATCGTTGAATTGCCAACTTGAAGAGGGAGGATTTGCCATCAGATTTCTGGCCAGAATTTCAAAGAAGAATGTTTTCAAGAAGACTTGGATAATAGCGCATAGATACAACACCAGATACAACACAGGGACTTGTTCAACAGCCGATACCGCACTGTGACGTCACAAACCGGTAGGTGGCAGCAGTGTTCTTTGACAAACATGGATGCCTCCAGTAAAACACATTCAAATGAAAATTACTCTTAATTAAAAACACTTATTTATTGAACAGTAAGTATTAATTTTATATTTGAAGTACTTGCAGAAGTTTGAATTCTGAATAAGACTGGACTTTTCCTTTAAGTTAGCCAATGACCATTTGGGTGATCCAGAGGAGAAGATAATCCATGGGAGAAAGTCATGTCAGATGAGACCAAAATAAAACTATTTGGTCATAATTCCACTACCTGTGTTTGGAGGAAGAAGAAAAATGAGTACCATCCCAAGAACACCGTCACTACTGTAAAGCATGGAGGTGGTACAGTAACATCATGTTTTAGGGGTGTATTCTGCACATGCTACAGTAAAGGGCGACTGCACAGTATCAAGGAGAGGATGACAGGGGCTGTGTATCACAGGATTTTGGGCTACAATCTAATTCTCTCCGTTAGAACATTGATAATAGGTTGAGGCTGGATCTTCCAATAACAATGACATGAAGCACATAGTCAGGATAACCAAGAAATGGGTCTGCAAGAAGTATATCAAGGTTCTAGCGTGGCCTAACCAGTCTCCAGACCTAAACCCAGTAGAGAATCTTTGGAGGGAGCTCAAACTCCATGTTTTTCCGTGACAGTCAAGAAACCTGACTAATCTAGAGAAGATCTGTGTGTAGGAGTGGGCCAAAATCACTCCTGCAGTGTGTGCAAACCTGGTGAAAAGCTAAGGGGAAAAGTTTGAACTCTGGAATTGCAAACAAAGGCTGCTGTACCAAATACTAACATGTATTTGTCAGGTGTTCAAATATTTATTTGAAGCTGTATCATACAAATAAATAGTTACAAAATCATGTGTCTCAAGTGCCTTGCATCCTTTCGCAGGATACAATCCTTTAAGGGTTGTGAATTAATCTTATTACGCATCATGTTATTATGTAATGGCAGTACCCCAAACACTTGGCATAAAAGTGTCTATAAATGTGGGTATGACTTGTTGATTGAGTAGCTAAAAAAAACAGGCAAGCAAAATAAAGCCCTATGCAAGTACAGGCTCTTATTGCTATATAAACTATTGTTGATGTAGATATATTTCTTCCACTTAATTTACTGCAACTTTTAATATTTAATTATTAGTTTATGGCTAATATCCTGTCTTTTCCTTTATGAAAGGGACCAGATGGATTGTATGCCAGTTCCAAAGTAGAAATTAAGTAATTTCAAGTTAAACTAAGATTTAAAGTAACTTTAAATTTTTGGGTGGTACCATTTTGCAGTACAAACTTTACTTATATTTGAGAATTTATTTATCAAAGGATTTGCTTGAGTGGTATTTTTCTTTTGTTTGCATGCTTTCCCCCTCTGCATTGTACCAACAGATTTGGTGCTCTGACCTGTGAATAGACTTCTATTTACATGCTCTAGTCTAGAATAGACTAGATCCAACATCGAATAAACAATTTGGAAAGGTTCCTAAGAGATACATTGTCAGTATTTACTAGAACTGTTTTAAAGAATAAAAATATAAAAGAGTTGTTGAATCTTCCCCATAAGCATGCATAAATCCAATGTGTCAAAGCAGCTTTTTTTATGCTATTGACAGCTCATAAAGATTAACTTCATATATTAGCATAGGGTTTTTAAGCAGATTCAACACAATGCAGAAGGACGTATGCAAATAATGTTCAATAGTGTTTAAAATATGCCTATGAATATGAATGTCTGTGTGCAGGTCTATGTTTCTTTGAATGTTTTTTTATTATACATTGAAGCTACTTGATAATGAATTGGCTGACATCTTTACTTAGATGACCAACTGTATTTAATTTAGGACAGGACAGTTTGAAGGCATAATTAAGGCACAAATTAATCTAATAATATGCTCAGGAATAGATCTGAATCTGAATTAATGAAAGAGTAAATATCCAACAGCCAGAGAAATCTTAAAGCTTAAAGTAATTAACATTAGTAAGGATTCATCTACATTAGCTTAAAAGGCAATCTTTAAAGAGCAAAGAAAGGTAAAAAAAAATCCTAGTAGTTTATTACAGGCTCTTAACGTTGGGCTGTGAGCGAGCACGAATGTGTGCATTTGAGCAATCCGAGTTGCTGTGCTGAGGGCGTTTTCTGCCAGCCCCTCTGCCCACGGGCTTTGCATAATATTATCAGAGCATGTCACATAATAGGCATTGTTTATTTTATGTGCATTAGTTTTTTTTTTCTCTATGCAATCTATTTCTAATTTTGTCTTCTTTAGTTCTTGCTAGAGCATTAGGTAGTGTAGCATGAATGTTGGTGGATGTGTTTGTGCTTTGATTTAGGAGGCACAGCTGTCCAGAGGGAGATGACACACAATCATATACACCAATGCAACTGGGAATAAAGGGAGGGGTGTGTGTGTGCAACTGTGTGGGTGGGGATGGGGGTGGGGGGTTGAGCAAAACAAATAGAAGACAGAGTGTTAATTCTGTGTCAAAGCAAAAGATTTTAAAAATTCAGTCAAATTTGGACATTCAGTCAAACTTAATATGGCAAACAGTTTGAAAAATAAAAAAAATACAGGAAGCCAAATGAGAAGTTGAGAGATAGTAAGAGAGCAACACAGAGAGATAGAGAGTAAGAGAGATAGAGAAAGAGAGAGAGAGAGAGTGGAGAGAGAGAACAAGCTCTGAACTCCAGTGATTCCCAGACTGGCTGACTGTGAGCTTGTGCTCTGATCTGCCTGCTCTGATGGGGTTTCATGCCCTCGCAGGCACCGCTCAGGAACCTGAGGGCATCACTGGTTTCTGCTGCTACTATTTTTTCCCTCTAATTTCTACCCATTGACCAGACAAAACGAATGAAAACTGGGACCAGACAATCTCAGCCTAGATGACGGCAAATGGACCCTACACCAGTGACGCTCACAGCCAAACAAAAAGGGAGCTAAGAGAACCCTGAATGCAACGCGGCCCAAAGACAACTGACAGAAAATGAGAGGTAGGAGCTCCATTTCTGGTTTGTTTGTATTTGTAAATTCTATGTGGGTCTGAAAAAGTAGTTAGGCATCAATCAGGTTTTAGAAATCACTCCAGTGAGAAATTACAACAATATTTTTACATTAATCTCTTCATATCAAGACAGCGTTGACCCTTTTTGCATGTTGCAGTCTCTGACATTGTTGACAGTGGAGCTTATTCAGAGCTGCACTTGCTCGGGGATATTTGGGCATGTCATTGCAAACTTCTTTGTATAGGCATCATCTTGAAGGGACAAAACAGAGCAAAGAAAATTGTGCTGACCTAATTTCATAACTGCTGTAATAGTGCTCATGTTTACGTGTAGAATTGTTTCTTTCACATGCTTTAATCAGCAAGTAAAAAAAATGACCAACCAATTAAATATCCTGACACGAAGTCCCCAATTCTCGTCGCTGAGGTAACCAAGATAGATATTGAAGTGATTATTCCCATATATTGTTGAACCAATGACATAATTTAAATCCCACAAAAATAGCTGGTTTCATAACCTCATGTGCTTAAAGGAGTAGACTATGATTTAGTAGATGTAATCTAAGCCATTCATTCCTCAGCTTGGGGTCACAACCCCAGGAGGGTTTCCAAATCATTTCTAATGGCTGTGAAATAATTTTCGAGTAAAATAAAAATTCATGCCAACAATTAAAACATAATTTGACACTGTTGAGAGTTTAACATGCTTTATTGCTTGCATTGGTATGTGAATTTTAAAGCATGCTAGAGCACATTAAAAAAGAGCCACTGACATGGCCAAGTTTCCCAACCACCAGAAACCCCAACTATATGTATCAATATATTATATTATATAAGCTGAGTACTGAGGTTAGATCAAATGGTAAAGGGTCAACTACAGAGACATGACTGCTGAATTACAAATTAAATATGTCAGCACGAGAACTCTGTTTTATAATATGTAAGTAGAAAAAGCATTGACCTCTGAAGAGATTTAGAGATTTCATAAGATCTAACAATTGAACTGCAACGCTAACAAAAGACATCAACATACACAAATTAGAGCTGTATTTAAGGAAAAATTTGATTTTCTGGTACAGAAATTGTATTAGCCAGATGAAAATCTTATTAAATATTTGTATTTATGAAAATAAATATTGTACACAGGCACAGCTTGACTACCAGTGCAAGATCTGTTGTGTGGAAGCTATAGTCATAGGCCTGGGATAGAGCTTTATTTCATTGAGCCTCCAGCTAGTCAAGCCAGTGCTATAAATACTACAGTTATGTTCCAGAAGGAATGGACATGTGAAGTTATCTCAAAGGGAATCAGACACCCAATATGTGCTGTGTATAGATTTGTGTGTGGGTGAGGGGTTATGAAGGTTTGGAAAAGTCACCAGGGGTCGCTGTATAAGGGGGTGGAAAAGGAGGTGTTATTGCAGAGAAGTAGTCGTGCACATTGGCAATAAGTTTAATTTCACATCTGCTCAAGCAGAAACTAAAATCAGTGGAATAAAGCAAAAAGAATGCAATACATGTAAAGATGACACTGAATCTATTGTGATCTATTCAGTTACGTTAGAACAATCCATCCATCCATCCATCCATCCATCCATCCATCCATCCATCCATCCATCCATCCATCCATCCATCCATCCATCCATCCATCCATCCATCGTTTTGTTATCTCATGTCCTTGGGTTTCCAGAAAGGTGCTTTAGATAAAATGTATCATTATTAGTGAATGACAGCAATCAAACTGAGACGATATAAATAAATGATATTGATAAATAAATGCTCCATAAAAGTTTAAGGCTGTATGTTTTTGGCATTAATATAAAAAGCAACAGCAATTCCACCTGATGCTATAATATCTCTTTCCTGTGTTTCTACATTAGTTTTGGTGTTTGCCCTCCTATCCTCCCTTCCTTTGTCACATGCCTGTCCAAAGGAGTGCAGCTGCACTAGCAACAGCAAGGTGGTGGACTGTCGGGGACGGGGCCTCTATGACATCCCTCGGCTACTGCATCCAGCTACACAGGAACTGTACCTCCAAGATAACCGTATCAGAGGGCTGAGCTCAGTTGCTTTCAAGGAAATACCTCTTGTCCGCATTCTTGATCTGTCTAATAACTCTATAACAGCCATATCACCGACTGCTCTGCTTGGTCTGAGGACATTGCAGCACCTCAACCTGGCATACAACAGCATCAGAGAGCTTGACAAAAGGCTGTTTGGACCTATACGCACTCTTTCCCACCTTGACCTCTCAAACAACAGGTTAAGTATGGAGGCTTAAAATCTTCCAGAGATTGTGACACATACACCATAAAACAAATAACAGACAACACTAGAAAACTTAAAAGGAAACCAAAAATGAAGTTTTTCCTACATAATTGGATAGAACTGAATTATAGGGAATGCTGCAAGTTAAAAACTTACACAATACCTCTCAGCAAAATATATTGTTCTTAACCAAATTGTGTTCATTGTGAAAACCTTGAGTGGATCTGCTATCATAAATCTAAGTACCATATGACAAATGGTTTATAAAGTAAGCTTTTACAATAAACATTAATCCTGCTGCTACATTTTAGATGTATACCAAAGATAAGTACAAGTGCAAAAGTGAACCAGATAAAGATTTTTATTACAGAGCAAAAATGTTAAGGATATGCAAAATCCTGTCTTTTCAAACAGGGAAAACATGCAAACGATATTACAATTGTTGTTAAAATGCATGAAAAAGAAAAACGAACAGCCAAGTTTAAGTCTAAACTGTTTTTCATCCAGCTCTTCTGTGAAATATTTATATGACTATAATTGATTGTGTCATGATCATTTTAATGTATTTTGGATTCAGTTAGTTCAGACCAGAAACTCACAAGCCGGTTCCCCATTTTTTTTTTATCATGTCTTGTGATAGCCTGTGGGGCTTGCCAGGAGCCATGGGGGACAGTCTGAAAAACCTCAGCTACCTGGGGTTAGCAAACAACAGGCTAACAAGACTGGATCGCTCATTGTTGGATGCCATGACCCACCTGGACAGCCTCACACTAAGAGGCAACTTCTGGAGGTGTGATTGCCAGCTCATTGGCCTCAAACTGTGGCTGGAGACCTACCTCTTTAAAGGTTAGACCATTAGTTCATTGTTATGTTAGTCTTGCCATGGTGGCACTGCTGTTAAATCCATACATGTAAAATATGAGATTTTTGACATCAGCCAAACGGTATTTCGTTTAGCGGAAGATCGAATGTCCTAAAGATATCAGATGAATTACTTTTATCAACTCAACTGCTGAGGGTCTTTCTCCATTGGGTTTGCATCCTAACTACTGAGGAATGTATTTTTTCTTGGTTTATCATTTTGAAACAACCACATATTCTAAAAATAGTAAGCTAGAAACAGTGTGTATTTTGTAAAAACAAACAAGATCACTTCAATGGTGTATATATACAGTGCTTCTCTCACCTAGAAATGAACTCAAGTTTTCAAATTTGGACAAAATCAATGTATATTTGTCATAGATGATTGTGTATTGATTCATTTGTGTACTACAATCAGTAATGTGTTGTAGTAGAAGCACAGATATCTTGTATTCTTTAAATACTGGTTTTTTTAGTATAACAGGATTTTAATACATTTACAGGCATGTATTGTATTATGATTTGGTAAGAAAATACTGAATTTACAGCTTCATTTTATTTCACTAGGTACTTTGTGTACAAAGGAGAATCTTTTAAACACTATGGCTTTCTCAATGAGAGAATGTGAGCATCATGAAGCCATATAATCTTCTACGCTAGGCCAATACAACGGGCATTGGATAACAAAATTACCACTGTGTAGTGAAGGCAAAGCATTCATGGAGTTAGATGATCCGCCTACATTTCCAAGATACTCTGACATAAATGTTTTCTTCCAAGATGAAAATTCTAATTAGTGCAAAAAAAACAATGAACCCATATTTAAGTAGGCACATAGATACAAGGCTAGTGGGTAATCAAGTTGACAAATTTGGAAGTGTGCATAACAAGATACCGGATCTGAAGGAAGACAGTAGAGGCTGATGAACTATTGCTTTAACATTCAGGAAGACCCAATTTATTTGGTTCTTTTGATCCCAATTACAGATAATTTCAGGTTTTACACATTTAACACATACTAATGCTGCTTATTCACTATAGATTAAACATTTGAAAAGATGATCAAGTCTTGGCTAAGTTAGGGTGACTATAAATTCTATTTTCACCATAAACTGAATTTAAATTGTGCAATATTTTCTGAGGAGAAAAAACAAATTTACATTAAACTTATGTCTTGATTCTCTCTTTCTCCATATCTCTGCTCTCAAGGAGGAGTTGTGGATGAAGTTCTCTGCACTCAACCAGAGGAAATGAAGGACAAAGACTTGCAGAAAATCCCATATCAGCTGTTTCATGCATGTATGACTACAAGTTACCATTACCTGTTTGCCAACATACACCATCTAGAGTCAGAGAAGCTACTGAGAGGCCACATCCATGGCAACCATGCCCATCCCTCCAGCCACTCGCTTCATGTCCCCATGGCGATAGGTGAGGGTTTTGGTGTTGGTGGAGGGGGAGGAGGGGGAGGGGGCATGGCAGAGTGTGAAACTAAACAGAGGCACCGCCCTGTCAACCTGCGCCATGCAATTGCCACGGTGATCATCACAGGTGTAGTGTGTGGGATTGTGTGTTTGATGATGCTGGCTGCAGCAGTGTATGGGTGTGCCTATGCGGCAATCATGGCCAAATATCAGCGTGAGTTAAAGAAAAATGAGGAGCTGGCTGCAGCGCAGGGGGCCGATCATGCTACAGCAGACGAAAAGGAACCACTGGAGAATGCTATTGCTTAAGAGCTGGTAATATTTTCCCTCGACTGTAAACTTCTTCCCTTTAACCTAACTATCTCTGGTTGCCATGTTCGGGTTTGCACATATGTGTAAAAAGTGAGATTTTTTTCATTTTTTTTAAAAAAAAGTTTACCTAATATTGAGAGTGGGGTAGCGATATTTAACAGGTATTTGACTATGCACTAAGAAGAGTATCTTCCACTTTAAGCAGATTTCAAAGGCTGAATTCAAATGTGAATTCAAAAATATACATTTTTTGTTTTGTCTGGGAAAAAAAGCATATCAAAAGCATCTAATATATATTTCTATGTGTGTACTTGTAGGTATTCGTAACATAAAGCTTTGGTATTGGTAGAATGAATTATAGATTTTATTTATTTTTGTCATTGCTCATCATTTTGAGTCTGTTTTTGACTCTCAGTAATCCATATTAGGCAGCTGTTGTATGTTGTGTCTTTTTTTATTTGTATTAGTAATCTGCAATTGAAAACAATAAGTCTGTGAGTCTAACTTGTGCTCGAGGAAGTGTGTGTACTTGTACATGTGTGTTCAGAGAAAGATTTATCAGAAAACAGCAAATTTAAGAGTCTGTGCCTAAATGCTTAAAGGTTTGTGAAAGAAATATATTTTTGGAGAGAATATTTTCTGGAAACTCAAGTAAAAATGAGAAATTTATTGCAGCAATAATGAAACAAACTAAAAAGAAAATAGCTGGGACTCAGCCTTTTTGTATGTCTTATGATTTTTTTTCAGTTCTTAATAAAAGAAAATTCTGTGAGGGTCATGCTAATACATGCAAGTGCTGATTTTTTTAAGATCAGTCATTTTTGTGACAAAATACTAATTACACAATGGTAAAACTGTCCTTCAGTATGTATGATATATAATAAAGAAAACATTGTTCTCAATTGATGTATAAATACGTGCAGTCAATTTGAAAAGGTCTGTGTCCGTGAGAGTGAAAATGAAATATGATTTATTTTCCTATGAACTAGTTATATAGCAACCTGCAGTTTGAAGTATTTTGATAAAATCTATATGAAAAATATGTATTGCATGTGTTACAGGTATTTAGCTGACAAAAAATGCTCTTTATAGCAGGCCAAAGTTAGTGTCAAAGCAAGGCAAATGTAAAAACCTAGATCAAATATTTTGAAGTGAGGTTCTGTTTTTTTTTTTATTGTTGGCAACTGTTATTTTGCCTCTAGCTGAAAGATATCATCTCACTGTGAGATTATTATCAGTGTAGTAGAAGGCAAGTGCAGTGCACAGCCTGCTGGTAATTTTTAATAAATTATATTTTTTTATTATAAATAATAAAGTATATATATACATTTTGATAATCTACTCTAAATTTGGAAAATTAGCTCAAGTGAAATTCATCTTCCTACTAATTAAACATGCAAGCTACAGAAAGTAGTTGTTAGGAGTGATTTAACATGGTCAAAATAGGAAAATGGCCAAGAAAACTACATGCTGGAATAAATTCAAAAGATACATCAACCAAGTATTAGTTGAGTGTGTTTACACCAATGGAAAAAGGCTACTGTAGCGTTCTTGTTTATCTCTGCTGCTTAGAAAAGATTTTTTGTTTCATTAGTTGGGTCATACAGATTGAAGGTGGAAAAAGTTAGCTGCATACAAAGGATTATAAGATAAACTAAAGTTATCTTAAGATGGCAGCTGCTTCCTTTTAGACTGGCATAAGGTTCCTTTCTTTATTTACAGCTAATACATTACTGACTGCTACCGAGATCTTCCCCTGTTTTAAAAACTATCATTGTAAAATCTAAAAGGTAGAACCGTTTATGTAAAAATATACCAATCTTTAAGTTTGTTTGAGTGACAAAGCGGTACTTTTGCTGCTGTCATACAAGTAATCAAAATGTAAAGACTATCAAGTGCAATGTAAAAAATGTTCAGCCAACCAACATGCGGAAAGGACTAACTGAACCAAAAAACAACAAACCAAACAACTAAATCTTTATGTTGGTAAAAAAAAAAATTAAAAAGTACCAAAAATAAATAATAGTAATAATTAAAAAAAGTAAAACGTTTGCTATTTTAAGTTGACCTCACTAAAATCTTAGGAAAATGTAGATTTTAATTTGCCTGTTAAGTTTCTTGACAAAAAAGATGTAGTCTTTAATTACTTTTTTTTTCTAACCTGGGATATTGTGATAGTTTTAAGAGAACTATCTCATATATGACAATGTTATTTTATTAATAACTCATCTAATCAAGCAACAGAAACAAATTTCCCTGTTTGATGGTTTCAGCTTTCATCCTCATATGTTTTTTTTTGCATATATAGTGTGACAGAGAACATTTATATAATTAAAAGGATTAATGTACTTGATGTACCTTAGTGGCACACTGAGGTACACAGATGCCTTGGGTTTTCATGCTTGATCAAAGTCAGATGGTTCTGTGAATTTCATGGTAGCAGTTTTGCTGCACGTGGCATGGGATGTGACCACAAACACTGACACACACAAACTGACATGCTGGTGTAAAAGAGTATCTATGGACATGCACAGCAACATTGTTACTCCAGTGATGTCTGCAGGGCCAGTGGTACGTGACGTCATCGGCCTGTCCTGTTAAGTTAGCGTGTTGGCGTATTCACAAGTCTGCAGCTCAGTGGAGCGCGGGGCAGTGAAAACTGGCCCTAACCGGCTTACGCTAAATTTGCATTCTAGCCTACATCTCGCCTCCCATCTGATGCTCTTATATAAAATCATCCTTACAGACATATCCAGATAGGACAAGCATGATGATCATTACTGTACATCACAATAGGTTCCTGCTTAATCCTTCTGACTGATTAGTCATTTGTTTTGCTGCTCAAAAGGATTGTATTATGTTGAATGAACAGTGATGAAATGAACAGGGTCAAATTATAATGTGGGCTGGTGCAAAACGTGGGCTGCTTGTGCACCACTCTGCTCAAAATCTAATGCATACTCATGCACAAACACATACTGTGTGTGTGTGTGTGTGCAGTAGCACATCACAGACTCTCCCATCGTTGTCCTTCTGCTCCAGTGGTTTCCCCCAGGCAGAGACTACCCACAATGCACTGTTTTCAAGTCAACATATCCAGACACCATGAAATATTTTTTTTAAGCTTCTTCTGTTATTTTATCTTTTATACCAACAAGGTCATCCTCCTCTTTGTTTCAATCATCATTTCTTCCCTCTGTTTCAGAAAAGTTCCAGTAATTCTGCTTGACCTTAGCAGTTGACACACAGTAACCATTTCAAGATGCTTTGTGAAAATTAGCCTAAAGTAATCCCCTGTTTTAATACCTCTGTACTGATTCTGTAATAGAAATTGTAGGAGTTTTAAAGAGATTGTAAGCATCAGATTGTCCAAACGGAAAATATTTCAACCATAAGAAGGATTATATGTTGCAGAGGCAAAAGGTTGTTTATAAGAGTCATCTACTGTAAATGTATGACCCTAATCGAGCGAAGGAATATTTATGTTCCTCTTTATGTTCCACCATTGTGAAAATGGACAGTATTTTAGAGTTTATTATTAACAGCAGTTTAGTTTATTATTAACATCAATATCATATTAATTTTAGGGTTTAATAACTGATTAAAAAATGTATTTTTTAGGTTGGAATAACAGTATCATATAACTATTTTTTTGACGAGAAATTGACAACTTTTTTTACTTTTAATTAGTGTGATTTTTCTCACTCTTAACTGAAATAATTGTCACTGAATGAGTAGCACAGACATCATATTATTTTTGCAGCTGACTGGTTACAAAACAAGAAAATTGTGATAATTGTGAATCACCTTGTTAACCCTATTATAAGAAAAATGTATAATGAAAAAGGGAAATTGCAACAGGCCTGGGGATACACAACCCTATCCAATTTAAGGGAGTGTTATCTGAGAAATTCCCAGAGGTAGACGCTATTCTGCTTTAACCATTTTGAAACCAGTTTTGTTGTCTTTTGGTGATCATTAACTTGATAAATAACAAAAAATTGCTCAATTTTTGTTTTACTTTTTTGTTAAACCTTTCTCCAAAAAGACAGCATGTGTGTTCAAGTGGACAACTACACATTGTGTAATGCTTGAAGATGGACCTATACCTATAAAAAACATTTTTGAAGAGAATCTTAAAAGGAAATGGCCCTGATTGACAGGTGGAAGAAAATGAATGGTCATTCAGAGATGTATCAATTTTGTAATATGTAAGGATTTATTCCTCTGTACAGTTTAACATCTTAAGCTTTGGAAATTGGAGAAAGTCTATATGAAATTGCTACTCAAACCAGAATGTGATTTATTTTCTAAAAAAAGAAAAAAAAATTAAGCTGTTTGAAAATTCTTTTGCAGAAAAAAGATTAAAATCCATCATCAAAGGCCCCATATTAAGAATACATTCATGCAGTGTTGCGTGATAAACTTCTAAATTAAATCATAGTTGCTGTCAAACCCTGTGTTTACCCTGAATCAACTTTTTTCAATTTTTTACATGTTCTTATGACATTGCTTCTTCTTTAGTTTTGCACTGCATATGTGTGGAGGTTCTTATTCACATTGTACTTTGCTCACCACAAAAAACTTAATACAGATAGAAAATGCACAATGTTTACTTAATTATATATACTGACATGTGTTTGTGTCACTGCACTATATAGATATATACTGTGTAGTGCAGTTCAGCAGATGCAAATGTTCACATAAAACATCTGAACATGTGGGCCTTCAAGTCCTTCAACTTGACAAAAAGAGTAAAATAAGTAGGGGAGTTGGACATCTGTAGACTAGGATTATAAAGCCCAGCAGTGTGAGGAAAAAAATACTGCAGTCTCTGTAAGTGTAGAAGAGTGTTTGTATAAGAGAGACATGGAGAAAGAAGCACTTGAATTTCCACTTACCCGCAGCTATGGGGGATTTCCTCTCATCCAAAAGCTGAATGGCAGTACTGGCCAGTACAACACTCCTGTTTTCTGAACCTAAACCACACACACAGGGAACAAATATTGGACCAGAGAAAAAAAAAAATCACAGACACAAAAGGTTAACATTTTGGTCATAACAGATAGGTTTCTATGATTTCAGGCTAATGAGGGACTAACAGTTAACAAATATATCTGACTGTTGTGTAATTGCTCCAGCTACCATAATCCTCTGAGAAAGCTAGGGGCATCTGAGGCAAGTCAGGCAAGAAAATAAGTGGCTTTCAGATCACTTGTATTAGCTGGCATTAATGGAAAGCCTGAGGCTGAGAACAGATGAGAACACATTCTTTCTTTGAAGGACAGAGCATTATTTGGCGAAACTGTTTAGCTGAATATGCCCAAGATGCTAATGCTTTACTGCCTTTCTTTATGAAATGATGGGTTCTGGGAAAAGTCACCACAGAAAGAGGCGATCCTTTCAGTGACATATCTTATTTCAACCATCAGCAATCAGCCAAGTCTAAATGCAAATAGAATAGAATTAATAAAAGAGGAAGGCCAAACTCGGATAAAAGCCATAGAAAATAATGAAATCAGGATAAATAAATAAGAAAAAACAGAAATGACTAAGGTGGTTTGGTTTTTTTTAAAGCTAAACTAAGAGTTTTGTGAATAATTGCCAATTACTTTATGCATTCAAAACTAATTGAAAACTTATCCTGAAATACCCCTTAACTAAAAGGAAAATAAAATCAAAACAAATAAAAAACGAACCTGAGTTGAAAGGCAGAGAATAAATAAAGGTTCCAGGAACTTGCTCTGCTGCTCTCTTGTACCACAACGGAAAGTGATCGGCATTGAACACCCCCTCCTTGTCTTCTGCTGTCAAAAAGTCTCTTGATGCAGACAAGAAAAAAATGATACAAATAATGAATAAACAAACTAACTCTGATTAGGGATGATAAACAGAGGCAATCAAGATTAAGTTTTGGTTCAGAACTTTACAGATGCTCATCATACTGTACAACTAAATGTTCAATTTGGAGTTGGATCCAAATCCTTGCTATTCTTTTACCATGGTTAAATGATAAAACAAAGCACAGTTTGACTTAAAAGGTAATTGAGAGCTCAAATTTGAGTTTTTACTGGATTATTGCTAAATAACATGGTGAAAATAATAAAGGAAGCCTTTAATTCTATATACAGACCATTACCCTAGGATATAAGAACAAATATCCTTTTGCACATTTTACAAAAACCTCAGAGATTTTGGAGCCATAAACAACCTACTAGGATAAGATTGGCAATGTTATATTGGCTTGTCTTTCCCTAGCCATGACCCTTATACTATTGCCTATATTATGATGTCATTACTATAAGCATCATTCTTTAATACAGAGTTGGTTAAATTGGACCAGATAGCTTAGGTCCCTGGCCCTCAACAATTTTTTCAAGCATAGGGTCCAGATCTTATGTGCAGAAATATTGTTAGCCTCCCTCTATTCATTTCGAAAACTATTTTCATATTTAAGATACATTATCATGTTTGAACGCCCAATTTTGTCTCGTCTCAACAGTATGACCAGTTTTTTCCCTTAAAATGAAATCACTCTGTTCAGAAAGTTCCAGTAAAACCCCCAAGCCACTAAAGATGATAGTAATACCGTTACCTGAAAAAAACAAAACAAAACAGTATAATCATTTTAAAATCAAAACCGGATGATCCATCTAAGAAAATGGTCCCTGTTTGATTTTTGCCTTGCCTTTTTAAAGAAATGTGTAATGGGACTAATATTAAATAAATTTGCCTCAAAAACGAGGAGTAAAAATGTAGCTTTCAATCCTAAAAACACTTGACCACCAGTCAAGATTAGGGGTAGTAGCATTATGTTGTTGGTTGGTACACTACACAATCTAGATGGAATCATTTTAGGCAAATCAGCTTAGGAAAGCATTGCAAGGGCAACCATGCAATGCTCTGAAACAGACATAAAACATTTGGTAATGGATAAGACAGGCCAACATTAAGATTAATTGTTTCAATGCAAAGTCTGCAACAAATAACCTGACATATGGTTTCTCTGCAACTGCAATTTAATCCAGCAGTCTGCTTACTGCATGTTTACAAAATTTTAATATATTCAAATATCTTGTTTAATGTATATTTTTCATTTATTTCAACAGAATTTAGAATAGGTTTAAAAACAAAATCAGAATCCCACAAATTATCCAACATCTTCACCCTTCATAACTTTCTGTAAGCATCTGACCAGAACCAATCTAAAGCAGACACACAGGTACTAGATCACTTACTGGTTTGTGAGTTCGTCGGGGACCACAAATAGATTAATTCTAGATAGTCCTGTCCTTGTTCCCAGATAGGCAATCTCAACACCTTTATCGGAGTTTCTGTTTAACAAGACACATGCATAAACCATACATTAACTTGGAAGGCCACTGTGTTTCTGGCAAATGAGACAGACTATTTATTGGTATAAATATTGTCCAATAATAAATCAGTGAAGTGGGTGACATACTCTGACTTATTGAGCACCAGACTTGTCCAGTAGGCCTCCAGTGGGGCTGTTACAACAGCATCAAAAAGAACTTCCTGAATCAGTTCCTTGTCACCTGATACAAAAAAGCCAGTTTAGAGAAAAATATGGTTATTCTTTGCCAGGTAATCTCTAGTTAAACACTAGGTAATATACTGTAGAAAAATAAAACTTACAATGCAGGCGGGGTTCCTGGCCACTCAGATAAATTTTTATTGCATCTATTTGTGACAAGTAGCGATGTTCAGGATGCTCGTCTGTGTTGCAGTATGTCCTGAGGAGTAACGAGGGGGGAAAAATATCAATAAAGGGCTGGCTTTTTTTTTTTTTTGTTTTGATTCATTTCAATGTATCATTTTGTTATAAATTCAGGCTATAATTTAAACAAAATAAGGAGGGATGATATATTAATATTTTAATGCTAATTATCTTCTTAATATTAAAATTTAAATTATCTTTTCAAAAACAAAAAAAAACAAAAACATCTTCCCACCATTCATCAGCTAGCGCTACATCAGGATGCTCCAGGTCATGAAGTCCTGTGAAAGAATAATAATATTACTTCTAAGGTGATTGAGTCCAAATATTCATAAAAGGTTTCTGTCTTTAAAATGCTGAATAACAAAGGCACCAAACTGCTTGAAAAATGTCCTTTTTAAATGAATGTGACAGCTCTGATTAGATCAGGAAGAGCCAAGTCATGCTTATAGAGTCCTTGATGACAAACATGTTTAGAGAACCACACAGAGACCTTCAGACAGAAACACTGCCACATGAATATTAACATGCATGAAGCTGGGCACAAAAATATAAAAAAATAAAATAAAAATACACTGGCAGGTGTAGACACACACTGTCAAGCAGGACAAGGACAGGCACAGCGAAATCGCCTGAGTATACAGTGAGAAAAGCGAAAACAAGCGAAACATAGTTTAGTTAAGGAAAAGGTGGTGAGTAATGATCATATTTTCTACTTTAGGCAACTTTTAATTTTAATGAATATATATCTATAATCTTCAAGCTTTTCACATTTGTAAAGTTATCAGTGTTAGGTTATTCTTAGGGCTTCGGTTCAGACTGAATACAGTATAATTAAAATAGATAATATGAACACCATGTATCATACACTACAATTATGAATTTCATGTCTAGCTTATTGCTTCACAGAGTATAATACTTAAAAGTTTAGCTTAAATGTTATTAAGTGTAGCAGCTTTAAATATTGAATACATTTGTTTGTGGTAGATTTGATGGTAATAGATGTTTCAAATACAACAGAATACATATTAAGTATGTTTCTACATTAAAACATGTTTTCCTAAACTTTATTTGACTTTTTAAGATATTAAAAGCAATGTGCATCAGGTGATGCTTCTTGTTCGATACATTGCTAATGATACACCTTTTAGTAAAGAATAATTTAAGACCTAATCAGCTGATATCAGTTTGAACTGTATATACTTTATTATATACATGATATCAGGTGTGTATTTTATGACAATAGACAAATTAAAATATTTTTATTTAAAAATTATATGAGCATATTTCATACTTCTCTGCTGTTTACATGAAGGAATAACTACTGCAGAATTTAAAACATGTAAGGTGCAGCATAATAAAATAGAAATACTATACGGGATAGGGACACCTTTAGACATTGAAAGGAAAAGTTAGAAAAAAAAAATTCCAGAAAAGAAACAAGTATAGAAAGGATTATGGGAAAAACATTAAGCTAAAGACAATGGTTAAAAAAACTGAAGAATGAAGATAGGTGGTGGAGATTCCCTACCTTCTTCCACTGTGACATTCCCTCTGAAGAAATATTTCCCATGCCCTCTGGAAAGGGCAACTCCTAGACTAAAATCAAGAGATTTTAGTAAAACAAAACACTTTAACTTTCTGTATGGGCTTATTTAGATAAATGTGTCTGTTCATCTTACCTGAAAGGAGTGCCTTTAATGTCTGTGTAGTAATAATCATTGTGTAAAACCAGCACACGCTTCTGAAAGAAAAAAAAGGATGCAGTCTTTCAGTTGATTTAACAAACATTTGGAACCTTATTATGCTGAGATTCTTTACAGTCTAGCCCCCTCTAGTGGCCCTTTGACTGCATCGTTGTGGCTGGGACCGGCTAAGCTGCTGTGTGTATTCCTACTGTGCACTTAGATAATTGTGAATATGCATGTGTGAATTCCTAATGATCCGCCTAATGTATAAACCCCTCTAAGCTCTCAAAATGCTAAATACATACAGATACACACACATACACCTGCACACCACTCCACATCAGAGACAGGCGAGTAGTGAAACTGAATCATTGGGATGCTGCAGCCCCCTGCTTTCAGCAACATGTGCTTTGTGGAGATAAGGGGCTCACACACAGACACACAGTAGTGTATGCAGAGCAAATCAAATCGGAAACAAAATCCCTAAGTCATGGCAGAGCATAGCTGTGCCAGGTTAAACAAGCCTTTGGCAGAGTAGATTCTCACTGTTGGGTTGTATTGCTCACACCTTTCGGAAGCAAATAACACATGCTTGTATTTTTTATTTCTGAATTTTGGACCCCTTACCCCTTTGTCCACACTCTTTGTCACCTCCATGGAGAAGGTCCCTGTCTTTCTGTTGACCATGGCATTTCTCAACTAGAAACACAAAAAGCAGACACATAAAAGCGTTGCACTTCTTCAAATATTCAGAGCAGCACTGCGCTGGGGCTTAATGTGGATTTGCTGGTGTCTGACCGTGTCATCCTTATCCTCCCATTCCACTTCAGAGAGATCCACACTGCTGTAGTTTGGCTTTCTTCGCTTTTTGCCATCTCCATACTGGACACAAGTGTCCAAGAAAAAAAGCAAATAAAATCAAGAAGATAACTTTACTTAACTAAGCATTAATGAGGCTGTAAGTAAAATATTTTTATACTAACAATTCAACTTAATATTCAAATGCCAAGTAAATAAAATGTATAACATTATTTATTATACCTATGTTTTTAAATATTCAATTAGTAATTTCAGATTCCTAATTAGTCTTGTCGGCTGTTTTAGCTTAGTTCACCTACAGTAAGGTAATAGGATATCTCACAGTATAAAAAAGAAGTTTCTAAGCCACAAACATCATATTAGGACACATGCTTTCACATAGAGATAAGTCATAGTAAGCATAAGTACAAATTTGGTTAAGCTAGGACTGTCTTTAAATAATAAATGGATCAGGGCACAGATTCACAAATAATTTTGCCAGGAACTACCCAATAAGCTATATCTCTATATGCATTGCTTGAGCAAAGGTATTGGCTGTGAAAAAGCCAGTCATTGGTCAGGTCAGTTTTACCTCTCATATGCGCTCCTTTAATCAAAACATATGTGTCTTTTTGTTTTGCTGAATGTTTGTTGAGTAAATGAGAACATGATGAAAAGATGATGAGTGGGTGTTTCGTTCAGGACAATGAGACAGTAGAAAAAAAATTTTTGGCTTTCTTTTTTTTTCAAATTTTGCAGTTTAAGGAAACTAAATATTGTTTTGAAAATGCAAAATGTAGACATAGTTTCAAATTAGTATTTAATCCATTTGATGAGAAAGGATCATTTAAACTTCAGTCTAAGAGAAAATATCAAGAATGAAATGTTGCAATTACCAATTTAAACAGGTTTAGAATAAATGAAGAAATAATGAAAGGTTAAGTTTAATTTGTAGTAAAGGTTTGACAAGTTTTATTTGCCTTGAATAAGCACAAATGAATATGGAGAACATATGCTGATCATAAGAACGTCCAAAATACTGGGAAGATGGCAAACAAGGTCACTGAGCAGTTATAACTGTGATGTGATTTATCGTACCTGAAATAAAGTGTGGGTGCAGTTTCTGACTCTATTTAGCCCATTTGAAAGTCAGAAAGTCATGCAAACTCCCATACAAACAAAAATTCCTGTGACAGTGTGTCAGAAGAAAAAGAAACCTAAAAAATATATTTTGGCAGACGCAGCAGCGTGACTGCACACCTAAGCAGAGGTGGGCTGACAGGCCCAGACTGTCTCAGCTTGTCTGGTTTATTACCCAGACAGGATAACACCAGGATACACGACACATTTCAGAGCAACCACAGAGCAAATCAGAGAAGGAAGCCTGATGAGTGTTTGTGCACGGCAACTAGTAAAAGCAGCATAAACTTAGCTTTAAAATCAGAATGCTGAAAACAAAATAGGCTAAATATAGGTAATAACTAATCTCTTATACTCCCCCTGTAAGAAATTAGGGACTTTCATCTACAATTAGACCTACAGTTTGACCCTAAAACTCCAACTATGAGGAGGTAGATTATAACTGGATTTGTGTCAAGATGTGAAAATATTTGGTGACCGGTTCAGAGAAAAATCATCGCATTTAAAACAGCTTAACAAATCAAAGGGTCCCTTAGATCAGCACCTTGTTTATTATTCTCGCAGCCATTCCCAAATCTACATAATAACAAAAATAGATAAATAAATAAAGGTTTTGATTCATAAACTGGAAACATATTACATCCCTGTATCATAGTAAGACATAACTTTTATGTCTTATCTCTTCCATATTTTCTGTGCCGATACTAAACATACAGTTTTTGGCAGTATTCATAAGAAATAAACCATTTCGATTGATCTCTAATGTACCATTATTTAATTAACTCCGTTATGTGTCTGAACAATATTTGTAAAATATTTTATTATGTTAACTTTAATGGGGAGTCTTGGCCTAGTGGATAGAGCTTGTGCTCTGAGAAGGTTGCAAGTACCCGCTTTGATCCCCACAGCCTGCACAGCTGGGTTCCTGAGCAAAACCGTTAACCCCACACTGCTCCCCGGACGCCAAACAATGGCAGCCCACTGCTCCCCAATGGGATGGGTCAAAATGCAGAGAGTGAAGTTCCCCATTGTGTAACGATAAAGGGACTTACCTTTACAACTCAACTAATTAAACAAGGATACAGTTTTGTTCAGTAAAATACAATTTTAGGAATACATTATTAGTGATTGCAGTAACACTTTTCTAACAGGATGAAACATGAGGATTTAAGAAAGGTTGAAGATGATGCTTCATTTTATTTTCCACTCTTAAAAAGGTGTTTTCACAGGTTTGTTTTAGCTTACTTTTGGCTTCTTCCTTGTTGCCTGTCGAGTCATTTAAATTGTATGCACAATGCTGTGTATTTGTATTTAGCAACATGTATTTTATAATGTCTGGCCATTACAGCCAGGTTTCAGTGAATACTTTATATCTATATTAACAATATATGTCATGTCAAATTTCAGTGGAACCGTTATAAAATCTAGGGACCCTCTTATGTCCCCCCACTCATTATTCCGTGATGCCACCGCTGCCATTGTAGTACCAGAGGGGCTGATCTGAGAATTTCAGAAACTTGCAACTGGGCTAGTTGTTTTCAAATGTCCTGCATGTCCTAGATGTGCCTCTGCTACAGCACACCTCCATCAAATAACTGCACTTCTTTCTAAAAAGCCACCATGGGATGCAGGGGTCGGCTAATCATCTATCTATTTAAGTCAGGTGTGTGCAGACAGGGCAATACATAAAACATGCAGGACAGCGGATCCTGAGGACCGAGTTTCAAAACCACTGCTTTAACAAGTTTCACATTGAATGATATCTCAAATAAAAAAAAAATCCAAATGAATGAAAATGTTCAGTAAGGAGTTATGTGCAAAATAATGCCTCATCATTAAAAACTTCAGAAAAGATTTGAGATTGTAGAAAGGCAACAACAGCTTAAATAACCACTTGTTAATAACAAGCTCCACTTGTACGAATAACCAAGCAATGAGTAACACTGTCCATGAATACATAACCTTATTAGAATGGAAAACTGGTTATAGATTGCAAAAACTCATCACAATTGGAGGATAACAGATTAGATTCATTTCAATGGCCTGTTGAGTTCCCATCTCTGTGGGCAGGGTCAGATTTGTGATATAAACATCCTGAAAAATTTTAATCCATACTGTACTGTAACAAAATTTTTATGTTGGTGGTTTTAATTTAAGGTTGTTAGAGAATCGTTCAAATGTTCAACTGAATCCACTACAGTAATGCAGGACTTTATGTTCAAGAATGTTTAACTGGATGGCTGTTTGAAACAGTCAACCATATTTGCAATCTTAACATAAAGGTGAAAGGAAGCAAAATGTTTCTATATGTACTAGTCAATAAATTATTCCAAGTGTGTTTATTTCTAGATTGTGCTGTACCTACAAATTCTCCTTTCCATTTATCTGTGAGTAAGGAACCACCTCCCATCCCTTAACAGTTGTTAAACACTGTTCATTAACATCTTTAATTAGCCCATTATTAAACCATCCATCTGTCTGCTTCTCTATCTGCCCTTTCCTCATCTGTTCTTTGCATATTCTTCATTAAGCCTTCCTTTTCTTTTTTCATCAGGTGTTGCACTGGGCTTTGATACTCTGCCCTTTTTTTATTATATTTTGGAGGCTGTCACCTTCCTCAGCTCCTACTGTCGGTGTGCTTACTTTCTTCACTCTATAGTGGGGGAAGTGGGTGAGTACAATAGAGTTAATCACAGCTATTCAGTAGCCTTATATCTCTCTATTCAGAGAGCGACAGAGGGCCGGGAAACACTCCTCATCTACATAGGCGACACAACAGGAAATAAACCGAGCACCCATGCCTTTTTTGTTCTGAAACAATCTTCAGTCTATCTTAATGCTAAGGCTAAATTTATGTTTTATTTAACAGAAAAAATGCAAAATAATGCACTAGACTATAGTTTTCATATCTGCAGGATTGCTGGGTTAACAGGGTTAAAATTTGGGCTCAGCATCGGAGTTACTCACAAGTGGCCGTAGATCTGGGTGGGTGAGGATGTAGCCATTGTTGGTGATTGCAAAGGCGTAGCCGTGAATGCCGAGCTAGGACAGGATGATAAGCAGAATCACAGAAGAACATCAACACGATAAATTCGTACCTGATTGTAAATCTGAACTAATCAAGCTCTTTGTCATATCATGTCTGTGATGAAGCTAAACACAAAAAACATTAATTCATTAATGTCAGAAAAAGGAACCATTTTACAAAATCAAATAATACAGCCACACTTCACAGTAAGACGGATTCTGTGCAGAACATCTGGTGATGATAAGACTCAATGCATTATGATATGCAGAGTTGAATGTTCTCCACATATTAAACTAAACTAAAAAGAATTATGGGAAAGGTGTAAAAAGCCCCAGAAATCACTCAGATTGTGTGTGTGTGTTTTTTTTCTTATGAAATGTTAATATTTTAATATAGCCTAGTCAGAGTCCTTAACTGAATCTGGAATTTGTGGAGATGAGCTAAAGATTAAAGTGAGTGCAATAATATCTTATACTCTACGTCTCAGGCTTCATCCAGTACCAGGTCATGGGAGCAGCAGTCTCAGCTGAGACTCCCAGACACCTCCTCCAGGTCACCTGTGGGAAACCTGAGCCACTCCCAGGCCAGCCAAGAGTAGTCCCTCTAGCGTGTCCTGATTCAGCCTTGGACCTCTGCTTTGTGGAAGGTGCCTGGAATGACCAAGTTCCTTACCATATCTCTAAGGGAGCTCCCAGCATCTGTATAAATAAATATTTCACCCGCTTTAATCTGGGATCTCGTTCTCTTGGTCATGATCAAGATTTCTTGACCAGAGATGAGGGAAGGAACATAGAAAGACTGATATAATTGAAAATTTTGCTTTTTCGATCAGCTCTCTCTTCACCACAATAGACAGGTGCAGCTTCTGCACTATAGCAGCAGCTGCACTGATCCATCTATAGATCTCCTGCCCCATTCTTCCCTCGCCCATTTAGCGGGACCCCAAGACTTTAACAGCGTTTGAGGGAGGGACTCTCTTCCAACTTGGAGGGGACAAGCCACCTTTTTACAGTCGAAAACTGACTTGGAGGAACTGATTCTCATCCCGGCCGCTTCACACTCAGCTGCATACCATCGCACTACCCGCTGTAGGTCTTGTCAGGAGGGAGCCAGCAGAACCATGTCATCTGTAAAAAGCAGGGACGATATGCACTGGTGCCTGAACTGAACACTTGATGAGCTACACCTTGATATCCTGTCCATAAAGGTCAGGAACAGGACCGGTGACAGAGGGCACCACTGTCAGAGTCCAACATGCACTTGGAATCAGTCCGAATTTATGCCGGCAATGTGGATCAAACTCCAGGTCCGGGTGGACTCAACCTTAAATTTGCATGGGAACATGCACTAAGTTTGCAATCATAACAATGATTAGATATCTGCTCTCCATTTTTTTCATCCATTCAAGGATATGAAAGTTTGTTGACACAACAGAGTTAAATTAAAATTTAAATACTATTGGTTAAATCTTAAATTACCTGGCACTGTCTAAATGTAAAAAAAAAAAGAAAAAAAAAAGAAGAAGAAGAAGAAAAAAAAATTCTCAACAGAATTAAAATGATTCAAAACAGAAATCTCCCAAGGGGGAAAATCATGTTGGACTTTGGAATTGACTTTATTTCCCAAAATAAATTAGGCGTACTCTTATAACTTTCTCTTTAAATGTTAAGGTCGAATCACTCAGTTGCGTATGACTTTTTAATCTCTAAACAAATTTTTCCCCATGTCACACTGACTGTGTAGAGAGGCTCAGACTGTGCAGGGTGGGCAGATCTGTGCAAATTATTTTCACCTCTGTCTCTGTGCTATACACAAATAAAAAAAAAATCCCAAATTTGAATTGAACAGATTATGAAAAGTTATTAAAATAAATACATAAAAGTGTAGCTACAAAGCAAAACGCAATGTAGTCAGTCTGTGCAGCATCTCAAACCAGAACAGATAGATAATTTTTATAGGCCTATATTAAAAACTTAATGGGAACTACATCTAAAGAAAAGAAAGAACGATCACTGAAGGCCGTGGGACAGTTCATATGCTTGCTGAGTCAGTGAGAGATGATTCTCAGAGAAAGATCTGTAAAGTTTTTGTTTTTCTTATTTTTCATAAAAAGGGGAGGGCAATAAACTTCCCCTGCACTGTCTGTCCCTGTTGTTTTTGTTTTTTTTGTGAGGCTCAAAGAGATTCACAATTTTAAAACATCCTTTTTCTGGCCTCCTGAAGTTTTTTTCTTTTTCGAGGAGAGTGAACTGAGCTGTTTTTCCCTCGTTGTTTTTGTAAGGTTAAAAGAGGATCACTACTTTATCAGTTTTTTGTCTTCCTGAACTCTTATCATGGGTAAATAATTAGTTTCATTGATTATTTTAGCACGAGTCGGTCACACTTGCTAAATACGAGATGTGTGACTCCAAAACTGACTGTTTTCTCTCTAAACAGATTTTTTGTATTTTCCCCAAAGCTGATGTTTTTTACTATGCAATTGCGTCTCTCTTCCTGTCAGACCCATGACATTGCCATGGAATTGCTGCGTAGTTCTACTAAAATAGACCTGGGGTGTATCTCAGTTGGAGCTACGCAAGCACCCTTGCTGAAAATCATGTCGGTTGTGATCATCCTTATTGACTTTTAATGAGAGCTAAACGCCACAACCACGTCCGACACGATTTTCTGTAGGATCAGACGCTAAATTGTATTCGGTGCATTCTGGCCTTTAGTCTAACTTAATGAGATGCATGTGGTTAGCAAGTAATTCCTATTTTTGAATGTTCTTTAATGCATATTACCTTATATTTGGGAATAGTTTTGAGCAGCTCAGAGACAGGTACATCTGTCCCAACCACCCCAAGCAGGATTCCTCTGTTTCTCTGTAAAAAATAAATTTAGTAGGAATTATTCAGTTTTTTTGGTAAATTATTTTAACTGTCTCAAGCTAAGACACTTTTTTTTTATAATATAGCCATTTCAATTTATAACATAAATGAAACTAGTCATGCTCTTCTATGTATAAATTTGTACAGTGCAATCAAAATGATATGAATGTGTTCCTAAAGCATAATTCCTTAAATGAATGGGAAATTTATTAGATGTCAAAGGAAATTAACTTTTAAGTTTGTAAAGAACTCTTAGGCGAACTTACAGTCTCGTTCTTGGTGCTGAACACTGGCATTGCTACAGTTGTCATCAAGACTGGACCTTGACCATCATCCATCTGGTGACATCAGGAGAGATTGGTGGCAAAAGTATAAAAAAGGGGTGAGGGAGACAAGATGATTTGAAAAGAGGTAAGCTAAATATCAAATATAATTATAACAACAAACAAAATCTAACTCCAGGCACATCAAATAGTTCCATGCATTTTATATGAAATATCCTTCATCACATCCAACAAAACCCTTTTTTTTTCTGGTCTGCATATAATCTCCCTCTTAAGTAGTGAAACTGATGGGATTCTTGCAGCAGCTTTAGTTATATTATCATCTTTAGGGACCTTCAAAACTTCCACAGCATGTTTTATTCATATCTTTTTTATTTGCCATAAAATGTATTCAATCTGAGCCTGCCTTTGATCTTGTTGAGAATAATTTTATCTGAAACAAAATCCATTAGAGATGAAAACCCGAAACTATTGAGCTTGACAATGCTACGACCTTCTCCAGTCAGAAATGTATCATCAATCAGCAGGTTAAACAAGCAGTTATAAGGTTTAGGTCACAGTTTTTAGCATTAGTAAAAAGTGTATAAAAAACAATGAAAATGTCATATGTGAATATCGTTTAGCCTAAACTAACAACAGACATTCAAATTGTACTACTCCACAACGAAAGTGCATCTCTGCAAATTCTATCATTTATTACATGTATTTTAGGGTTTTATTTAGCTAATACAAAATAAAACAGTTTCTCACAACACTTCAATAAAAACAAAAAACAAAAAAAGAAAAGTTATATGGAATTAAGTTAAGTTTTACAGTGCTGTTATAGCCTACACCATGGCTATTTAACCATAAATATATTTTAAAAAAGCATGATGGGAAGACATTCACATTTTCCGAGGACAGTCCCAATTTTGGATGAAGTGTCCCCAGCTAAAGATTTCACCTGAAATGTCCCTGGTTTTATTGTCTGTTAAATGAAAAAAAAATATTGTCTATCAGCTGTTAAAACAGCTCTTTAGAAGCACTTATCATAAACAAAAAAAAGAAATAAAAGACCAGCATGTAAGCTTCTCATCATCTGTTCTATGATATTAGGGTACTGATATTATGCCAAAATCTGTGACCCCAGCACGTGATAATTACTAGTCTGCCGCCCATTGGTTATGTTCTGCACTGATACATACCAACAATCATACAGTATCATAGAACACATTCTTTCTCTGGCTAGGGACACAAAGGCTGTTGTGGAGCAATCCTAGTAACATTGGCAACAACAAAGCCTCGATTAGCATCAGCCTTTCATTCAAACAGTGAACTATGGTGAGGACAATGCAATAAATAACAGAAAAAAACACTAATATTGTATTTTTCTGCACTCTTACAAATCATGAACATCTTAAACTAATCCTAAGCTTATACAACATGTACATTGATTTATGCAGTCTAACAATGTTGGAGCTTATACCACAATTTTCAAAGGTACCTGCAAAAGCAGTAGGTAATGGTTCTTTATTAAAATTTTACTAACTGAATGACTGTCATTATCTTTAATTGCAGAACATGTTTTAATGTCTCTTCTTGCAGTTTAGAATAATTCAGTCAAAATCAAAGAACTAGATTTTGTGGTTTTTAAACCAGAGCAAATCAGAGATGGTCAAGCTGAGAATAGAAACAAAAACAACAAAATGTTGGATATCACCCTTTAACAACCTCTTGACATGTAAGCTTGTTTCTGCTCTGTAACAAATAGTATCACGTATACTTGATACCAGTTTTCATGCCACTTAATGGCTCACAGATAATTCTCAAAAATGGCATTAGGAAATGAAAAGTCCACTTGGAAAAACAAAATTATGACAGAAAATAACTTTTTAAAAATGACATTTTGAAAGACAAGAAACAAAAATTGACTTAAATAAAATCCTTTAACACTGGTGTAATGAGATTACATGGACTATACAAGAATGAAGGGTACGGGAAAACCTGTGCTATCGAACTGTAGGTGATATACTTTGTTAATAGTTGGTAGAAAATAACTATGAGGAAAGTATGTTATGTAATTTCAATATTACTCCTAAAAAAAACATGCATTAACCTTACTTCAGAATATAATGCATGAATCTTCCGTGCATACAACTAATTTTCCAAATGGACAGTAATAAGACGTGCACGCATTATAAGGTAAACAAGTGATTTAAGCAGTTGGCTAATCAGGTCAACATTTTAGGAAAACAGCTTTAGAGAAAAAAAAGGACACTAGATTAAATCTATTATTACATTTCTGTGGAGATTCTCAGTCATGGGGGTCACGATCAAGCTTGAAAAGTTCAGTTTACATATTTACACTATGTTTATACCACGCATTATAGTTCAGGGCAGAAATATTGGCAGCTTTGCCCATGTGTTATATATAAGCAATGAGATAACAATGATGGTCTCTATTCTGCTTTCTTTGCAATGACTGGATATGAGGATTTTCGGACCAGGCAGCAGCCTCTACCTGTAAGGCAGCATGTAGGAAAGTGAGACAGTAATGATGGAACCTTTGCTGCTTCCAGATGAAGTTACGGTAAACCCACCAAAAACACAAAGAAATGTCATTAGATTTGTCTCTAGTCGCTTTTTAAAATAGCAACTGGAGTGGTCTGAAAGATTGGTCAACAACTTGTTTGTAAATATGCTTTATAGATAAACTGGATTTGATTAGACAATCTGAAAAAATCAGCAGATATGATTTAGGTGTGTAATAGTGTAAACTGGCAACACTGAGCTGTTGTCCCTAGTTTTCCTTCACAGTGAAATGTAGCCACCAGTTTGTTTCAAGACAGACAGGAGCACACAGTGTTTAATTTTTTTAGTAAATAAAGAAAATTTTAACATTTAAATTATTTCTTCACTCAATTTTAAACTCTGACTATGATCAGAATAGGTGCATACATATACAGTATGCTAAATCATATGCCTCCTTACACTTTTTAGCATTTTTTCCCCCTTATTTCTGAAGATGTGGTCATTTTTATTTTTTGTGGTGGTGCTTAACTGTAGCGAAAACCCTGATAAATCAAAATCAGATATCTTTTTGTATTATTCCTTGGGACTAACTGTTTAATAACTTAGATATTACACAGCACAACCTGGTTCCTTCATTGCTTATGCTTGTCTACAAATAGTAATTACAAGCAATGACAGGACAGTTATTCTCCATTTTGTCTTCATGAGACAGTGAAGAAAAGGGCTTTTTTGACTTGTGTTCAGACAGCTGGTAACAGCAATCTAGTGGGCAAAATTGCACATCAAAGAGAGAACAAAGCGTACCTAAGTATGGCTGTTGTGACAATGGATGGCCTTGCTGCTGGAGAATGTGATCGATCAAAGGACAGGAGGAACGAGCAAAGTATCATCTAAAAATACAAAATCTATTTCCAAGCAGGGGTCTATTGGGTCATATATCACTAGAGTGGCAAGCAGTTCCTTCATGGAGTACTCTCTGCACATGAACATTAATCTACCAGTTATCCATTATGGTATAACAACACTTTCTAAAAGTCTAACCTTCCTAAGCTGTTTGAGGGAAAGCACACATGATGGTCTGTAGAAAAAACAAGAGAACAAAGCAGGAAAGCAGGAAAATATATCATTGACAGAGGGTGTTCACAACCTACTTTTGTAAGAAATTAAAATTCAGCGTTCATGTAAAAACAAGATTATTATTTGGAGAGATGATATTTACATGTACAGGCATTCAAAACTGTTTTACCCTTAAAGAGGGCATCCCTCTTGACTTTTAAACTTGTTGAGTTATTTTCCGACACTACCATCTCTAGGCATTTATCCGGACAGAGTAAATGACAGGTGTAAGTAGTTCCCATTGTAAAGGCTTGTATCACTCCTATGATACATTTACATCGTTTGAGAGTTCAAATGCAATTCCTAACCAGTGTTCTGTATTTCATTGGAAAGCATAATCTAGGTTAGTATGACAAATTGTGTACTGGTAGAGGAAGTGACCCTTGTTGCCTTGGAGACAAGGTTTAATGACTTTGCTCAGCACAAAGCATCAAAGATAAAACCTTCCCTGTTGGCTTCTGTAAAAGACCTAACAGCAAGCTCCACAGCCAAAAAGAACTGGCATAGACTCAGCATATACATTTACTCCACAGGTGATTTGGGAATATCCATGAAACTTCTAAATCCTCTTTAATTAATGGTAACACTTCCCCTTGAAACTTCTTTTCTTCTTTTGTAATAATCCATGAAAGTGTTTAGAATTCATGTTACACAGAAATTTACCTTTGCATTTGTAGGTTTCAGTGTTTAATCTACTATTTATAACTCCTTATAAAAAAAAAGACATACCTCTTTTACTCACACTACCAATTGCTTTAACGTTTATTTTCCCTTCTACTACCATCATCTCTGACCCCTCAAAGACATGAATCATCTTGACTCCTGAAAATGTGTTGAGCTATTTGCCACCAAAGTGTAAGTAGCAGATCACTTAAAATGAAACTTACCCCATGTGAAAACAATTATGTAGATGCCAGACAAATTTTGAGAATTACCACCAAAGATGTCTATATGAAGAAATATGAGTGCCAGGGCTGTTTGGGAATCCCTTATGCTGTTTTGATCAGGACAGCTATCTTAGGGTGTATCCCAATTCAGCGGCTGCATCCTTTGAAGGCCACATTTCTAAGCCCAATGCATCCCCCCTTTAGCTAATTTGAATAGTGTCCCATCCTATCCCATTATTCACTGCAGGTCAAAGCAGATTTAAAATTGGTTTTACCTTAACTTCTATTATATTGCTAACAATCCACTTCCTATTGCATTTCTGTAAGACTAAATATGGGTATGGTGTCACACCATCCTTGTGGGGACTTTCCATTGACTTTCATTAATTTCCGAATCAGTTCTATGATCTAACTCAGATCCTGAAGCTTGGTTTATGGTTGATGCATCAACAAGAAAATTCTGTTTGCACATAGGAAAATATTTCAGTGCTAAGAGGGAACCTGGCAAAAAATCTGGTGAGCAACACTACTGGCGAGGGTTTACACATCTAAACATCTACAGAATTCACCTGATTTCAGTCATAAATGTCGACATTATCTACAGATTGTGGAAAAACTCCAAGAAAAACATTGCTGTCACTCTTGAATGGCATGAAGAGGCTTTGACAAACTTGTAAACGGTCGTTTTTTCTACTTCCTCATGTAATTTGGTGTTGTCAGCTTGCTGTTTGCGCTGAATATGCCCCCCAAGAGCCAACCAGAATGGTGGAAAGCTGCACAGAGAATAAATGCTACAGACGCTGTGACGAGCCTCTTGGTTTTTCACCTCAAATTTCAATGCGTAATGAGCCCTTTAACCTAATCCTAACCATAACCAACACACATCTAACCCTAAACCTAAGCTTAACTCAATTTACACCTTCGTCCTTAACCTAAACCCCACCCAAAGAAGGAAACTTTTGCTAATGGAGACCAGTCGTTGGTCCCAACAAGTACCTATAAGTCCCCAAAATGTAGAATACTCCTGGGAAATTGCCACCACAAGGTAACAAAAATAGGCCACACACACAGAAATATATTTATCCTGTATTAGGGCTACATAAATCATAGATCTGTGGCTCATGCAAACAAAGTAATGCTGAGGTAAGGGCAGGAAGACTTCTGAAGGCTAGACCATCCAAATTCAAAGCTGATGACATCCGTCTTTTGTTGTTGCTGAGGTCTGCATAAGGACCCTGTGTGCGTGGGCCAGGTCCTTTGAAGGAAGCACTCCGTAAACCGGAATACAACTTTAAACAGACCTAGCCTTCCAATACTGAAGCATAGAGATGGAGCGCTGGAATGCTGGAAATTATGCCACGAACAGAACAGAGTTGGAGGATTTTTCTGAAACTTTTTTACTTGCCTCTACCACATTAATTTTAAATACAAAATGTTCACCAGCTGCAAATATATCACTCCTAGTAACAGATACCAGAAAAAGAGACAAACAGTTATATTTATTTATTTTATATTTATTTTAACTTCATAATTTTATGCTAATTTTTTTAATAATGCATTATCCTAAAACACCCAGTGACGCACCCTGTTCTCACAAGCCTTAAATCCTCTGCAAAATACAGCATGAGATCATTTTAAAGACAGGGACACAAAGCCAAATGAGCCAGAGAACAATCAATGAAGCTAAAAGGCAATGCATGAGGGAATAAAGAGGTGGTAGAGGAACATGTTAAAAGAGAGCCAAATAAAATGATAGAGATCAACAACAAAAAAGATGTGGAGCATAGTATGACCCGGCATATGAAAAGGTTATGCAACAGAACACAAAGCACTAATGTGCATCACAAATCAAAACTAAAACTATTATTTGACGCTATAGCCAAGCTGCTGCAAGTGTCTAATCAATATATGAGTGTTAAAATCTGGGATAGTGTATTGTTAGGTGAAGTTTTAGTCTAAAATGTGAAAGCCCATCAATCCATCCCATTTGAACAGAACCACCTCATTGTAAGTCAGCGCAGAATCATGATTTTAACAACCCTTTGTAAGATCTCTGCCCTTCCACCTGTCCAATGACACAACTCAGTGCCCAGCTCCTGCTGGTAAGAAGGCAAATCTCTCTTTTGTCCTCTTATTATCAATATAATGAATACAGAGCATATTTTAATTCCTTTCAAAAAATATATAAATCACAGAAAATACTGAAAATAATAAAATACATCAGAATTGCATAGTCATTATGAATTACTGGATATTCACCCAGAACACAATGAAACAGTTAACTTGAGAGAACAACAAAACGAATGACAAAATACTGAAGGCACAAAAACCCCTGAAGACAGAAATGTAACCCTGCAATTACACAGATGACCAAACTGCCGGCATGGAAATACTCCCAGAGCACAGCTAACATCATCACTGATGAGTGATTGTGTGAACAGACGTGTTTGTTTAATCTCACATGCAAAAGAGAGCAATACGGTGAAAAAAAAGACTTCCAAGATGCAAGACTTGAGCAATTAACTTGACAAACAGCATACAAGTACCAAACGAAATAATGTCATGAGGATGACAGTTTGTTATCCCAAACAATGCACCATCTGCAACATCTCACAGATATTTGAAACCACAACCTGCATGCATGAAATGCCCATTAACATACAGAAGCGCCTGACAAAACACAGCATAACGATGGCCTCAAACAGGATGTTTTACCTTTTGTGCTTGGGGAAGCTTAAGGACAGCGGTTTACAGAAGGAAGGAGGAGGGGGAGGAGAGAGAGAGGGTCAAAAACATTCATGGATAAGTGTCAGAAAGCCTTACGTATAATGCACTTTTTTACTGAACAGAGTGTTAGTGTTTGAAAGTCACTCATGTTCATAAAGGCAGTAACTTTAAAAGAGTTACTGTAAGAAACAAAAGCTTTCTGGCACTGAGGGTTGGCATACAGGGAATATTTAGACTGTTGAGGCTTAGTAAGCGAATTAGAAAAGAAAAATCAATAATAATGAAGAAAAATAATAGAAAATGATTGTCAGATAAGGAGTATAATATGAGAACAGTGAAGACACACAGTTTTACTAATTTAATTTTAATTTAATGTTCAAGATTGTTTTTAACAGGAGCATGAAACCCCTTAAATCTAGTGAGAAATTAGTGAGAACATTTTTTTGTCTTAAAATAATTTCTTCTACATGTGCATAATCTATGTTTTTAATTGCTTAAATACTTCATGATTACAAATATACATTGTGCCTAATTTTGTATTTTAGTTTACTTCTATTTTTGCCCCTTATCTTTTCCCTACTGTTGTCCTCTACTTATAAAACCTGTTTGATAACCTCAGTTTTACCCAATGATAACATATTGTCAGTGTGCTACAGTACAATCACAGACCTGGGGACAAGAGACACAAATCTGAATATCTAACAAAATTCCAGACAATATTGTCATTATTCTCTGCCATTGATGCCAAAAACTCTTTCTACATTGACATTATCAGAACTGCTGATACATAGACAGTTCATTCCAAGTTCAACGCTCCACTTAAACTAACATCTCCACCATCCTAACCTGTCTGACATCAAGCAGTTTACTAAACTTTTCACATTCAAACTATCCCAAAATGGTCTGAATTTATGCCCATGGACCCTGTGCAAACTATTTAACCTTTACTTGGATTTTATGGTAACTGCAACAGTCACACATGAATAACCTTTACCTGCATTGGGAATATTTCCTACTACACACAAACACGCTTGGGTAACACCACTCCTCAAAAAACTTTATCCCCCACCAATTCACATGAAGAACTATAAGTGCCCTCCGCCCATTTTTATCTAAAACCACTGAAAGGGCTGTCTTCATGCAGGTCACTGAATAACTCTCACAACAAAATTGTCCTTGACCCAACACTATCTGGGTTCAAAGGTGTCGACTGAAACCACTCTATTGCGGGTGACAGAAGCCTTAAAAGAAGCCACAGTGGCAACCAAGTCCAAGTCTATCCATACCTATCCTGCTTGACTGATCAAGTGTATCTGATGTTAAATCAGCCTAAAGTGGACACATCATCCAGTATTTGCTGAGGTCCATTGGCAACTCTGTGTTACAAGAATAAAATTCAAGTAAATGATAATAGCCTAGAAAAAGCTTAATGGAACACCCTCATCTGTTTGAATATCACAAATTGGTCAATCCATTCTTAAAGAGGTTATCAGCTAGCACTTTCTACACCACCTTCCAGTCAATTCAGACTATTTTCTTATGTTTTTTCCTTGAATTGAAAAATGACTCACCATGGGACAGATGAACAAGACCTTACCTATCTACTGTATTTTAAAAAAAAATTGAGGAACCAGTTCTTCAAAGAGTATCTCCTACCCTAGGACTTACCCTGTACCCCTTTAGTGCCTGTGCTGTACTCAACTGCAACGTCCATTGTTTGATTCTTGTTGTTTTTATTATTAGCTTGTCCTGTTGTATGTCTTTGTATGTTGTATGAATATGTATGTAATCCTCTTGGTCAATTTCTCCCATACCACATGTGTATCCATATTTTTTTATCTTAACATAAAGTGCCTTGCGACAGTAGGCGGCCCTCTTGAACTTTTAAACCTTTTGCTATATTTACGGCTGCAAATGTAAAGACATAAAATTATATTTCTTTGTGAAGAATCAACAAGTGGGACACAATCATGAAGTGGAATAAAATTTATTTGATATCTACATTTTTTTAACATAAAAAAACTGAAAAATTAGGTTTGAAAAATTATTAAGCCCCCTTGAGTTACTACTTTAAAGTGCCACTTTTTGCTGCAATTCCAGCTGTAAGTCGCTTGGTGTATATCTCTATCATTGCACACAATGATGAAAAACAGCTCTATCTCAGTGATGTTGGGTGGAGAGCAGTTGTGAACAGCAGTTTTCAGTTTTTTCTACAGATTCTCAATTGGATTCAGGGCTGGACATTGACTTGGTCATTACAACACCTGGATATGTTTATTTGTGAACTATTTATTGGTAGTTTTGTTCTAGGTTCGGGATCATTTTCTTGTTGGTAGATAAATCTCTGTTCCAGTCTCAGGTATTCTGCAGACTCCAACAGGTTTTATTCCAGAATTTTTCTGCAAGTCCTTCAGTTTTTTATTTATTGAGAAAGTTTAACAAATTTCATAATAAATTTTATCAAGCCTCAAGATTGTGTTTCACTTGTGGATTCTTCATAAAAAAATATGTTATAACTATGTTTGAAGCCTGAAATTAACAAAAGGTCGAAAAGATCAAGGGGGCCAAATACTTTCACAAGGCACTGTATTTACCCATAAAGAAAAAAAATACCTATGTTCATAAGCATTGCAAATTATGTCAAATTTTCTCTGTTAATAATTATTTAGATTGACTGAACTGATAACTGATAGGGAAAATTTTACCTTGAAACCAATATTTTTGTAAGTGACCTTCTGGTTTAGGATGTGATTCATTAGACTCATATTACTATTTTATACATATATTCTATTGAGAAAACATGTACAAAATATCACTAAGCCTGATAAAAATGTATTGTGATGATGGGATAAAAAAAAAACTGTAGCAGATGATCCCCATTTTATAAATGATAAGCACAAAATTACTAAAACCGTAAAAGTACAAAATGGCAAATGGGAAAATCAAGCACTTGCTTTGATCTTTATTTGCCAATTTATTGCCACCAACCATGTGGTGTACAAATTGTCACTTTCTTTTCTTTGTGGTTATTTTTTGTGTAATGGTGATGTGTCACAACAATAAAGCACGATGAAAGGATCTAAGGTTTTTATGCAATTTCATGAACGTTTATGTAATGAAATGCAATTGTCTACTTTATGCATACTATATAGGGTCAATGGACTGCTCAAGTTACAATGCTCCCAAATGTTCACAAGAGGCTCATTTACTGAATGGTTCCATCTGCTAAACATACAAGCAGACACTTTCACATGCTGGTACACAGGCACCAAGAGACACATTTTCAGCTATCTTACTGTGTGTGAATCAAAGTATTTCTTTTCAGATATTGCATTCACTATTGAAATGCTAATGGTTTTTTTTCCATCCATATTTTTTTCCCATACTTTTCCAAAATATATATTTGAGATATTTTTGACATTCTCTGAGATGATAAAAGTGTATTCTATTCTAATTTAATTAAAATGTGTCACTCCTTGGGTGTTTGGTATAAAATTTCTTTTCATCACATTGTATTTTTTTTTTATACTCATTAGTTTAAGTATGCCCCCCCACCTTGGTTCGAAGATGCCAAGATGAATTTTGTACCTGAATGAAGTTGTCCCCTACCTTGCTTTCAAGTTAAACGGGTTCTTTCTTAAAGAGAAATTTAAATAGGATAATTTAAATAGAAAGCCAAATAAAATGATTTCAAAGAAGGCCTTCCACTTTTGGAATTAATGACACCTTTTTTTTTTTTTTTCCGAACCTGTGATTTTCTTTTAAGGAGATGAAGATGCAGCAAACCAGCAAAGATTATATTTAAAAGCAGGTGTTTCCTCCATGATTAGTCCGACCTTACATCCACTCCCAAATTCCAGCGAGTCCACACTGATACAGATTAAGGCCTGAAACTTCCATTCACCCTACCCACTACGTGCTTTGGGACGGCCCTTAATGTGGCGGACCCTTTGCGGGAAATCACAAACGGAGGGTTGGTGCTTTGCTGGAAGACTTTAGGGGCTGGTTTTTGATTCGGACAACAGCTTTCTTGATGTCGATTCTACTGGTTCGTCTTGTTAGAGTGCCTGTGCTCAATGTCCTTTTGTTCGTTGTTAGTTGTGCTAATTTTCTGTTTTTAATTAATAAACTTCTCCCTTGTTCATCACAAACTCCTGTCTACCAACACTCAACATACAAAGCAAAAATAAAAAACAGGAATAGAAGGATCGACTCACAGTGCTGTCAATGTATGCCTCAGTCCACACTGTGTCATGCTCCTGGTCAATGACCTTGGGACGGCTCAAAACATGGAGATACTCCATTACGTTCTCTTGAACGTCCGCCAGGGTAGAAATTTGAGTGAAATAGCCTGCAAGGCAAAAACAGAAATTGGAGTAGCTTGAAAAAAAAAATCCTTAGTCCAGTACTTGAGGAATTTCCAGTCATCTCAATCAGTTTGTCTATGTATATTGTGACTGAGTTCCTGGAAGCAAATATTCTTTTTCAAACAGAAATTTACACTGCACACTTATCTAATGCTGCTTTATGCATAGTTTATCATCTCCAAAAATAAATGAAATACATTTTTTTGGGGATCTGAAAATTTTTAGAAGACATATTTCTTACATATACAACATGTGGCAAAAGTTACATAATTTCTCAGAGCTCAGCAAACTCCTATACCTGCAGTACAATGTCATGATTATGGCAAAGTAACTGGTTTCTTTACACGCAGCTCCGCTCCTGGCATCATTATCACTCATTCTTACCACCTGTGCAGCTCCTCTCCTCCTCATCTGCTCATGCTTACCACCTGCTCCCCTTCCACTATAACCAGAGCTCAAACCAGTTACTGTCTGACCTTGCTTTTGTCTCATGGATTCCATGCCTTTGCTAGGGTTAAAATTTCTGATTTCTGGACAATGACCAGGATTTTGCCCTCTTAATATTGTTTCTTGTCTTTCCCTAAAAAAATCTCCTCCTGATTCAAACCGCTTAACTGTGACCCTTTTTCAGTCCTGCGGCAGAGCTAGCAGTGAAGTCACCACTCTTCAAGGCATTATCCACTAACCTGGTCTCTCTTCCATAAAGGTTCCTGTTTCCACTCCTGAATGGGTTCCTGTTTGCTTTATTTTAAGTTTAATCTGGTAAATGTTTTTTGTGCCTAGTTAAGTATTGGTCAGAATAGCTGACATTATATATATACATATATTAAACCAAACAAATTTTCATTTAATTTGTTTAGAATACTTTTGTTATTGTATTGTACATGTGTTAATCCTGAAAGCTTTTTATCTTAATGTTTATATCATGTAAATAACCAGTTATATGTATTTTGATTAAAAAATGCATCTTTTAATAAACTTTTTGATTACTTTTTAGCAATACTTTGACTTTAGCATTGTCACGTTTTAGTTGGTGTTTGTGGACCAACTTAATATGTAACGCAAACCAGAACAATGGAGACATCAGGGGAAAATAATCACGAGGAGCCAGGGAGAGACGAGGTAGGAAGAGAACAGCATTGAGAAAGCAGCAACGACAAGGAACCAACAAGGAGTGACAGCAAAAGGATAGAATATTTAGCTGACTGAGACAAAGGCAGCGCTAACGAGCAGATGAGGAGCAGGTGTGAGAGGAGACAACGAGGGAGCCAAGGGGAAAGGAACACACTCACACACACAAGAGGGCAACAGAGGACAACAGAAAAACCCGAGAACTAACATAAATCTAGAAATTACAACAAAACAGGAAATAAACCAATAAAACTAGGAAACATGGGGCAAAGTAAAGCACAATAGAACCAAAACCATGACAAGCATGGCATGTCTGCTCTGATAATACCAATATTTTTAGAAAAAGAATAGAGCCTTGTCTGTTTGGTGCAGTACATATTAAAATAAAAACCATCAGCTGGACTGAAAGCATTTGAATAAAATAAGATTGAAACTTAAACATGCAGAAATAGTTTTACTAGCTTGTTTAAGAAATTTTTATCTTAAAACTTTATTATTAGTCCCTTTTTATTCAGTGTTGTAAAACAAAAATGGATTAAGAGTAAATGTCTATGCATGTTCAAACCTAAGTTACATCAGACTTCATTCAGTGTTATTCAATAAACATTTTCTAATACTTAACGTATCTTGGTCACAAAGCTGAGTACAGAGGGCAGTAGAGATGTGCTTGGTAGACAAAACTGAATATATGTATTAAAGATAGCAAAAGAATTTTTAAGTCGGAGCAAACCAGCATGGGTTCGTGAATGATTAAATGGTACATAAATGGGATGCAAAATCTATTCTCAGTAAAGCCAAATGCTGTGCCATTTCCTTGAGCGGTAATGCCATCATTATGCTACTAATGTACATGTGGAGGAGTGAATATTGTTCTCTCACCAGGAGAAAAGAAAGCTGCAAGTATGATAATATCTGGCAACAGTTAGACAGAAACAAGGCATATGAAGCAGCTCAATAACAATAAATTTCCAATCAAACAAAAAAGGAAAGCAGGAAAGTGCCAAACGGCCTCCTCCGATGCAAGCAAGGCCACAAAGCACCTTTCATAAAAAATAATAAATTTAGGGTCATTACTTCAAAGCAAAATCTTTACGCTTTAGGGGGAAAAAAGTCTTCACACCTAAAGAAAAAAATACCAACTTTAACATTCTATCAACTAACAACCAAGTCTGAATCTTTATTTGTGATAAAAAAAAGTAAATTGAAAAATAAAAATTTGAAAAATCTCTGAAATGTAACCGTAACCAATATGGTTTCACAACAGCACTTGACTAAATTTGATCTAAAAAAGAACAGATGAAAGTGTGGATTTCTATTTTTTTGCTTTTTTTTAAACCAGAAAGTTTGGCAACAGGAGACATATTCATACACAGAGTTACATTAAATAAAAAGTAGACTGTCTTATCTTAAATGTATCATTCATCAAAGTAGAAAGCTATGAGAGACTAGTCCCTGTGAAAGGCTGAGGTTGTCCTTCAGGCTGAGCTACTGGGGCCAGTGAGATGAGCTGGCCAGAAGAAAAAAATGAATCATGGACTCTGCTCTTAGTGACACAGCACACCTGTGGCATGGACTAGACAGACACAATGTGGCCCAGAAATTGTGAAGGCAGAGGAGCAATTTTTAAAGGACCTTGGTTTGGCATACAATGTATATGTAAGCAGAAACTCACAAGGTGTCCTTACACATGAAGATGATGAAGTGGGAGTAAAATATGCATCACAGTATAAAAAGAAAGGACTAAAGGTTACTTTAAAAGAATATGGCAATGGTGTGATGTAATATACTGTAGAAATTTGAGTGAAATAAAATAAATAAATGAACTTAATATAATATTTGTAGATGTTAAAAACAACAGCTAAAGTGTGATTGATTTAGTAGCAACCAGCTAAATTTAAAGCAAATGTAACTAACTTACACATGGACCATTATGCAAGACTTACTACTTATTTCTATACATTGAATTAGAATAACTAAATAGGAATTAGAACCCTGTAACAGATCAAGAAAATACAATGCCTTTACATTTCTGATTTCACATTCACTTAGTGAACAAACAAACTCTAGTTTTAAGGTTTGTTCAACAAATGTCTTATCTCTTTTTTTTTCTTGGTCACCTGCCTAAAGACTGCAAATGTAAATTAGCACATCTGCAAGTGCTACAATCTGCCATATTCAGCCTATGTTGTAGACGTTCATTAATATGCACTGTTCCTATTAAATAAATAATGAAACAGAATGAAAATAATAGCTTTATAGACCCCCAATATATACATATATGAATGAAAATTTGATACATATTTAGATACTTACATATTTTTGTGAGAACTTAAATGTTTAAAATTATTATACCATAACGTACAATGCATTTTGTGTCTGCCACCAGTATAATTTCTGATAATCTGATATTCCTTTTAGAAATGGTATTAGAAATTAAGGCGGCTCTTAGAATTTAGTTTTAAAATAGAAAAATAAAAACTGACATACAAAAATAAATACAAATAAAAAAGAATAAATGCTTTATATTTTAATTTCAATATTTGTTTTTTAAATTTAAAATCAAATGGCCACGAATATCGATTCTTTGAAATAAAATCCTGAAATAAATGTAATAATAATCCTTAAATGACCAAAGACCAGTTTCTTTCAGGCTTGCCTTTCTCTCAACTTTGGGACCTTTGAAGCATTACCACTCTCTCTATTACTTTGAGTAAATGCCACTGGCTTGACAAAGAACACGGCTGTCCTTTTAAAAGTAAGATACAGTTTTCAAGTCAAGTCAAGAGTTGACTTAAATTTTGAGCTAACAAACTTGTATTTTCTTGTTACACTAGTTATTGAAATAACCAAACCAGACATTAGTAGAACCAAAACTTCTAAACTGTCATGTAAAATATAAAAAGAATACAAACTGGACTGTATAATAAACTTGTATTCACACAAATTTGTACAACATGACACACATTCAAGTACAGTTGTTTCTTCACTAAGACCAATACCCTGAAACTAGATGGATGGCCGCTCTGATACCACTTCTGCACAATGCTTTGGCTCCGTGGTCATTAGTGCAGACCTACAGATGAATACACACATACAACTTCTGTGTGACTCGATTATATTATCTAGAGCACCTGAGGGAATGGAGCCAGACAGTCTCTGTCTGCCATGCACCTCATAGCTAAATATAGAACCTAGGGAAAAGTGACAACATTTAAAACCTCTTACGCATTTGTATTTTGGTCATTCTTTCAGCCTGGGGTAAAGATGTAATAACATGACATGTTAGGGCAACTGCAACCAACTACTTACTGTCATGTGTTAGTGCTAATGCTAATGGCCACTGACAAACTTTTTGATAATATTGATAAAAGAGAAATAGTTCTCTTTTAGAAACATGCAAGAATTGGCCATGAGGAGAAAAAGGTAAGATCCCACCTTTGTTAGCACACGCCATCCATTTTAAGTTATCTGCAAAGGCAGACTCCCGACCAATGAGGTAGGGAAATATTCGGACCTAGAGAAAGAGAGCAAATTGCTACAGTCATTCATTATGATCACAATATGATAAAGAGCAGCAAAGAGCTGAAAAATGGATAACTCTCTAAGGTCAATGTGGAAATTCTTAATCCAGCCAGAGCCACACAAGGAACTGAAGGTTTGAGACTCACATTTATACTTTAACCTTTTCATCTAAATGTATTTGTCAAATGTAACAAATCTAGAAAGCAGTTCTAAACAGATGCAAGTTCTGACAAGCAAAAATTTGATTCGAAACTCGAAATCTATCAACAAAGTAAGGAGAAGCCACAAAGCCAAGGTTTTCCAAACTGGACAGACAGCTCTACTGTAGCAGAAGGTGTAGCTGGCAGGTGTATGTATGCATTATAGCAAGTGCATGAGTGTGTTTTTGCCAAACTGGAGCAGATGCAAGCCTCTGGGGGCACAGCTGCCATAGATTTATTGCCAAACGTTTTCATTGCTCAGAATATTTTTGTTTACCTAACAAAGGGGGGACTGGTGGCTACATTTTTTTCTGACATTGTGGGGACCATATTCCATAAATCATAGCACATTTTGGAAACTGACTGTTCCTGTCCGGACCAAATTCTGGTCCCTATGGATACAAATGTTTAGAGGTTGAAACCATAATTGGTTTAGGGCAGAGGTCACAGATTAGCAGAACACGATCCGGATCCGGACCCACATGCTGGCTAATCCAGACCCAACCTGATTTAAGACATTTATAAATTACTGCATGTTGTCTGTGTCTAAGTGTCTAACTTCACTTGCACCGCTTCTCCTGTTAATATGGTAAAGCTTTGCAGAGGGCCAGCACCAGGCTACACGTGATACAAATTAGCCAATGAGCTGTCAGTCAGGTTCGCTGTGGTGAGCTAGTTTTAGACACAGCAGGTAAACCTGTGGCAAGCTGGGTGATGGGAAAGTAGGAGAAGACGGTGAGTAAAAGGGAGCAGAGAAACTATAGAATGCTGGAAGAAGAGCGGTGAACTGGTTAACGAAATGTGAAATGGTGTGCTTGAAGATGACCCTGTACATTTTGAGTTATGTTTGGCTCAACCTGAAGCAAGATTCTCCACTATGAACATAATCAAAAATAAACATTTATCCAGGCTCACGAATGAGCTCCATGATATGTGCTTTAGAATGGCTTTGTCGCCATTCAAACCCAGGTTTAAAAGCCTTGCAGGTCAGCCTAAAGCCCACTTCTCTCATTAAGCCACAAAAAGAATAAAAAAAACAAACAGTCAGTTCAGGTGTTTTATAAAATATGTGAGTCAGGAAATTGTCTATATACCAAACTGAACGATTGCTGTTCTCTACTCCAAAAACACTTTAGATTTTAAAATAGAAAAATATTCTATTTTTTTTTCATATTGTTTTAGTTAAAAAATTCAATGTATAACATGGATGCATGGAAACATGTTTTTTAGTTCAGTGTTAAATTCTATTCAAAGTAACAGATTATAATTAAAAATGTCTCCAGACTTTTGTCTGTATTCGGACCCTACTGATTTGTAATTGGTTACCCTTGGTTTAGGGAAAGGGTATGGTTTTCAAGACTAAAATTTCTTCTGTTATTTATTTCACCTATTAATAAAAACATTAATATTGAGACATTATTTTGAAAATAAAAGGAAAGTAAATCTAACGAATATTGTTTGTTTATTTCCAAGTGGGCCACACCACATGATATTGTATTGAGAGCCTACAAATTGCTCGAACATGATCACTTAAAATACCCTTTATTGTGTTTTTTCCTAAGACATATAACCACTGGCTGGTTGAGTCTTTAGCTCTGCTCATGCTCCCAGGTGACAGCACTATGTAGGGAGCAGCTATATATATATATATATATATATATATATATATATATATATATATATATATAATTTATTTAATATTCTCTTTGTTTATTTGTTAGCATTACTTGAAAAGTTAAGTACGAATTTTAACTAAATGTTTCAGCAGAGGTGTACCTAATGTCAAAGAACAATTCATTACATTTCAGTGATGACCCAGACCATAATCCTTGATAAAGGAATTGTATAAAGGATTTGTTGACATTTTGAGATAGGACTATTTGGCGGAACAAGCAGCTCCCTCTTAAACCAGAGGGTGGCAACAGTGACTCAAACCAATATCTCCTCTTTTGGATAAAGTAAAGTTGCTAAAAGATACTATTTACTTTTATTTCATTTACATTTTACAACAGTAATTTTACTAAATATCTGTACTTTTACTTTAGGACACTATTGTTGTACCATTTTCACATGTGGTTTAAAACAAGTCTGACTCAGTTTTCCACTTGGACCCGTTAGCCCAGTAAACTGGTCTCACAAAAGCTCCTTTTGTTATTGTAAGAGAAAATTATTAAAAGAAAGTGGGAAGAAGTTAGGATAAAAAATATGATATCTTCTATCAGTAACGCTGTTAGAAAAGAATGATTAATTTACTTTACAGTTTTGTATAGCATTCTTTTTTCCCCTTAAAACAAATCTAATAAATTAAGATGTCGAAAAATTGTCAAATTTCATTTTAAAAACAAGAGGTAACAAGTATCCTTTTCGTGCTCTTGACTAGCACAAGAATGTTTATCACAGCAATAAATAACTCATGAATAAATTTCTAATTTGGTTAAAGACTTTTATGATATTTGCATTAATCTTTCCAAAGCCAAGCTATATTGTGATGCTGTACAGTGGCGAGTCAGTAAAGCCGGCAGGGAGAAAAGCCATTATGAAGCAGTGGTGGAGGAAGAGCGCGGGTGAGCAAGACACACTGGAGAGAGTGACAGAGACTGAAGACTTCTATTATCAGCGGGGGTTTTCTAAATGGAACTATCTAGCAGCCTTGCGTCCCCCCCCCACCACTCACTGCTGTTGAGCTTTTAGGCCTGAAGAAGTGGGAGGTGCTGGTGCAGAAGGAAGTTTTAACTCAAACCAGTGCAAGCGTACCATTCATACTAGCCCATATATTGATTATATCAATATCATTTATAATAAAATACACACAGAGGCATTTATATATGTATATATCTAGTAACCTTTTGACCACTATTAATAACTATGATTGCTCTACCATTTAAGAACACTCATTATGCATATGTTTGTTGGGATTTGGCTGGGGCCAGAGGGAACATCTTCCTTGGGGCTTGTTTATAGCTCAGAAAGTTTCTCAACTGCATCATTTTAAAAACTGATTTTACACCAATGAGACAATACATCATACATTAATCTTATTGTGGTAATTTTAACATTAATATAGTATTGTACTGTTTTAGTTTACTCAAAATAAAAGAAAAAAGGCTGAATATTCTAATAAATCAATTGAAACAGAAATCATACGGAAACAAAATTTAAACGAGATGTCAAGTGGAAGTACAACACAATATTTATTAAGAATGTTTAATTTTATAGCTTAAAAAACAATTTGGTTCATTTGGGATGGACAACAGTTAGTTAAAGACTACAATGATTTTTATCATATTTTAATTTGATTTATTTTACTTTCCAGGCATGTTGCACAATAAGCAATGTGTTTTAGACATTGCCTTGAATTATATCCACAGGTGTTCTGTTGTTGGACTCAATGCAGGGAATTCATCCATCTGGAGCTTATAAAGCCATAACATTCTCATTTGGGTTTCCTCAATTGTTCAGAGGCCTTTAAACCACAGCGTATATAATAATCTGCAGTAATAAAATAGTAACATTTTCATGTTTGGCAAATGAAAATAGTTTTGATAATTCTATCGGACCTGGATTAGAAAATGTTTAGACTATTTCAAGATCAGACAGTAATAAATGTTTCCATAATCTCAAAACCATTTTTGTTTTAACTACTCTTTTTGTCATCACAGTCCAAATTTATTTGTTCCTTATTTCTTATCCCACAGATATTTTCCAGCTAGAGTACGTAGGGGTGTCCAGATCTGATATCAATATTGGCTGTCAGTTTGATATTCGCTAAAAAATAATATCAGAATATATGGGCCTGCATTTAAATCTTCAATACTGTGATCCTGATAGAAACAATTCTGCTTCTGTTTAAAGTACCTTTCACTCATTAGTCGATATTACATGGGTCAGTTGTTCTCATACCTATTTTTGCTGACTATTGTTCTCGACTTTAATAATATCACTTGATACATTTTTTTCAAACTTTCTACAGCACAAAATAATTAATCAAAGCAAATTTGATTGGGATAATATATCTGGTCATTATCAGTATCGGTGAATTCTCAACTATGCAATACCGTATGGTAAGGTAAATTAAAAAGTTGGGTCGTCACACCCCTAAAAGTAACATTCAAAAATCTCAACACATTTATAACAAGATTTTTTTAAGCTTTAAAAAACATAGAAACAATAAACGTTCAGTGGCTCACAAAAAGAAATGTATTTTATAATAGATTTCTAAAAGATTAAACACTTTATTGTTTACTTCATGTTTATGTGATTTAATGTTTCAATTATTTTAGATCTTTTTTTTTCATTAGTTATATAAAAGCTACCTGTTAAATTCATATGGAAATGTGAGGTTATGTTAGTGGCCTATTCTAAAAAAATGCTAAGTAATGTTTAATGAGGGACACATGTTGATTTAATGTAAAAAAAAAAAAAATGTATCCATTTCTCTTTGGGATGTTTATGCTTGGTATAAGGCTAAGAAACTGTCTCTATTTGGAAAAAAGCATTTTGAAAAACAAACGCTATTAAAGGCAGAATCTTGGGTAACATATTTGAACAAAATCCTAAAGTTCGTAGATACTGAGCATTTTGGCACATAACCCAAAACAGGCTTTTCTTCAATAAAAGGAAAACCAAGAAGTCCTGAAACCTAAAAAGAAAATCTTAAGGCTTAAGATATTTTAGGTAAAAAGATTTTCATTGCCACCAAAATGAAAAAAAAAAATTATAAACGAAATGTAATAAATAGTAAACAAATACTCCTACATGACAAATGAAACTAAGCCTGGTTTTTCAGGCTGCATATGTTTTTTTAAAGAAGAAAATATGGAGTTACATTACCTTTCTCTCTGGCCAGTTATACTTCTCAAAGATAGCATCATATGTATCGACTGCTCCATCTGTCACCAGCATAATGGCCTTGCTACACTCACTGCCCCTCCCGGTCTTGTTAAACTGAAAAAAGAGAAAAAGACAGAGTTCTTGCACCTTCAAAAAAAATAAAAATAAAGAAAGAAAGAAAAAACTACATGCACTCGTGGTGGTGTCCTTTCAGCTGCACTCTTACTCATGGGTTGCCACAGATATTCATCACCACTTGTTTACAGAGTTTGCAAACTTTTTATGATGGAAGCCATTCGTGGCACAACCGGAATTCAAATTAAAGTCAAAGACTTGTTTTTAACATAAACAATGCAGTCAAAAACTACTTCCTTTCATTTTTAAACACTTAATTGTTACTTAAACATTTAAATATTTAGGATCAAATAAAAAAAATAGTTTTGAGAAAAAAGCTTGCCAAACCTTTTAGGCCCAATGCAAAAAAGTTATTTCAAACTGATAACACCACTTGCCTGCATTGAGTTCTATCAAGTCTTTATGATAACAGGCAAAAAGTCTTCTACATCACTGTAGGGAACGTTTGCCCAACCTTTTCATGCTGAACCATTTTCTTCTGCTACACTGAGAGCTTTGAAAAATAAGCCTTAATGTAAAAATGATAACACATACAACACTGGTTTCCAGTTTGCAGTGATTTCTATGTAACATTTTTATTTGTGATATGACAAAGTAATTCTTAACCTTGTTAAACCTGGCATTAGATTATTACTTTGTGTTTAGTCCAGATGTTAAAGAAGCTACTGCTACACCCTTCCTGGTTTTAAAGCAATTTATGCCTGTTTTTCAAAGACAATTATCTTTAGAATGCTCTCAACTGCTCAGTCGCTCTACGCTGTACTGAGCCTGTTGCACCTCCATGAACAGCTGGATTCCAGCTTGCTTCAAAGTTTGACTAAAGAAGTAAGAATTTAGAGATTTATGGCGAGAAGATTTGCCTCGCCATAACAAAAGCAGGAATTAGGACTTTTAAGGCCTGATATTATAATTTTATTTTAATGGTTGAGAGTGATTGATATGAAACTACAACAGACTGACTACAATGACTTCAGAAATATTTTAAAGGAATTATTTTGTTCATAGCTCTGTCTATAACTTGTTTAAATCTGCACATTTGAATAACTGATTGGCCTTTCATTAACTTACTTTCTACTAGAAAGTATAATTTTGGCTTTCAAAATGAAAACAAGCCCAACACAAAAATGTGGATACTGCTAAAGCAATAAAGAAATCTAAGAGTTTTTTTAAAAGTGTAAAATAATTGGGAACACACATGCAATCGCTTTTGATATTGTAGGATATAAACATGGACTATATTTTTATTTTAAAAAGTAGAGTTCGTTATGTGTGTCACATTTCTTGCATGTAAATTTGATTAATTGCTGGTTCCTAATGGCAACAACCTGAGTCATCAAGTACCTTGTTTACTCAATTTTGTTTTTGTTTTTTTGACTGAGTTTATTAACTGGGCTATTAATTACAGCCCTAATTAAATTTCATCATAAAACCATGGTTCAGGTGAGTGTGTCTGTGTGCGTGGGTCTAATAATAATTATGAATCTGTGAGTCACTTACATCACTGAGAAGATTGAACGCCTCCGTAAGAGCTATGTCCAACATACCAATGCCTTGAGCAAACAGCTTATCAAGATGCTCCCGGAAATGCTGCAAAGATAAAGTTTGAAGACGTAGGAATTAAGGTGATATGAAACTAAAACAAAGAAATAAAGTCCATATTTCAGCAGATGCTAAATTTATGGCTCAGATAATCAGATATTTATAATTCAAATATATACTCAGTTTGACAACAGATTGGTCTATTCTTTGTTAACATACAGTACCCAGTGTTGCGCATAAGGCGTTCAGAGAACGGCCTTCACTGAATACGTTCATATATCAGTGAACGATGAACTGCATTGATCAGTTTTGAAGTAATAAACGTGAATCAGGAGAATGTTCACTCTGAGAATGATGAGCGAAACACACAGCTCATGTTCCTGTTCAATTGATAACACTTTTCATTGGATTACATGAGGTTGTATGGCACCTATTATGGCAAACAGCATGACAGAACAGCATGTCTACTGCTGATCTTATTGTGCATGATTCAGACTCATCTTCTGTGGTTTCTTCCGATGCCAGTTTGGCAGATTATTTGTCAGAGTTTTATGAACAAACAAAGAAAGACTCGGCCAGAAATAACATACGTTCTTGTGCAAACTGTGCCCACTGGGACTTAACTAAAAGTCCGTTTGCAGCCACGTCCACTTCAAATTTAAAGCGACACATGAAGTTATAGCATCCAAGCTATCTTGGGAAATATGTGCAACTGAATGAGGAACGTAAGAAATCCTTTTTGATACAGATCTTTTCAGCAGAACCTGAATTTACTTGAATGTTTCTGAAATACTGTGTAATTTTGAAAAATAAAGGCTTCACTGCACATACAGTATACCTTGACTGTAATAAGTATATTCAATTTATTTCTATATATTATGATCACACATTTAAAGGATGAAATAAGAGGTTATATTGTGTAGGATTGTGGCTTAGTTAACCAAATGAACTTGAACTAGTTCATTTATAGGTTTTGATTAGCTTATGAAAAAGTGAACTATGAATGTGAGCTAGTTCATTTTCATCTGTGTGAACTGACCTTAAGCTTGTTCTTTCTAACAATGAACTGGTACAACAATGATCATACTAATCAGAATTTTATAAATGTTGCTTTTTATAGATGGTTAACCTACTGTAATGGACTCTTAGAAAGCCTTGCACCAGATGATGAGGCTCAACAAAATATTATTTAGAACTGCATGTCAATTTGTCCCTTAACTTAACTGACACTAGGACAAATTCACATCAGTCGTAATACTTTAACAACATACAACTATAATGCAGTTCCTTGAGGACATTTTCATTGTTTCATTTTTCTGTATTCAAGTTTTTGTATTATTTTTTAACAGTAAAACAAACAAGCATGTACAGTAATGACCCCATCCCTGCACTCCCCCAGAAACAGAATTTCACAAAAAAACATACAGAGTATTTATATATGTTGAGAATATAAACGCAACTATACACATGTATATGGTAATGGGTCACTTCAATCAGCATAAGACATGCTATGGTTTTGAGTTCAATAAAGTATTTGGCCATTGGCAAAAAAATGCTATTTCAACCTGGAGAGACATGGAGAAGAGCTGCAATAACAAATGTTTTATTCAATTAATTTCAGTTTATTCATACAGTGCAAATTAACAACATGTGCCACCCCAGGGCACTTCACAGAAACCACCCAACCAGGCCACCCAGTCAGAATGGTCAAGTTTTCTATCTAAGGAAAACCAGCTGATTGCATCGACTCACTGACTCTTCTGCTATTCCTCACACCAAGCATGCATGTAGTGACAGTGGAGAGGAAAAACTCCC